TAATAACCTTTAAATATATCCACTTATTCGAAATATATTTTATAGTTATTTCTATTAATAGTCATGGGGTTCCATCTCAAAACCAATGGAGAGGAGTAGCCCATGTCTATTATAAACTCATGTAAGGTCCCTTATTTTATCATCCTTAACAATTTATCTCTTATACATTTTGTCTTAAAAAATATTATCATCTCCCTAATAATATTTTAGCAAATGCCTAAGAAGTACATTTTGTGTAACAGTACTTTATCTAATAGAAAAAGATCTCATGATCCTAAACCGATCTTACTTGAGATCACAAATTCCAAATTTATCTATGAAGAGCAGATCTAATTATACTAGTGTTTATGATTGCTTTCTTCTACGTAATACTAATCGATAGGATCTACTTCTTTCTTCTTCTTTTTTTTTTTTGTACAATATGTGGGGTGAGAGATCGAATGCACAACCTCTTGGTTGAAGGTATATGTTAATTATAATCACTTGTATAATCGATAAAATCTCACCGTTACAAGATCTCGTACATTAAAACTTAATGAACCGAAAACTTCTTTGGAGATATTATTGGGCAGGGATGTTAAGATTTATATCACGAAGTCAATGAGCTTAATTAATTAAGCAGTGTCGTTTAGGGAAAAAGTAATTAATGAAGAGGTGTTTAGTCAAAGAACACTGCGTTTGGATCTCATTGTTGTCTGACTCCAAAGGATAAGATTTTCAGGCATATCACGAGAGCCAAACCAAACAAGTTTTCAATCAAATCCTTTGGTTATAAAAACAAGAGATGGTCAATATATTGATATAAAGCTGGAAAAAATAATGGAGAGGAAGCACATAATTCTGATATTATTGGTGGTGGCGATGGTGGCTGCCGGAGACTTGGCTGCCGCCGCCGTCTACGGTGCTGATGCCGGTGGGGTGGTCGGAAAAAATAGTTGTGATCGGAGGAGTTGTGATCAAAAGAACCCTTGCAATGATGCGTGTCGCTGCCTTGCTTTTGGTCCTGGTCCAGGGAACTGCGTCTAGCTAATGGCGTCCCCGCCGCTGCCGCCGCCGCCGGCGGTGTTTGTGATTATTAATTCTGATGCTTTTACCTTAAATAATGGTGTTCACTGTCCATGAGTGGAACCAATTTCTGTTTACTTTTTTTTGTTTTTTTTTTTCCTTTTTTGCAACCCTTTCTTGGGTTTAATGTTGTTTGTATTGGTTACTATATGAATCTAAAGAATAATGTGTTGTTTTATTTTGATCGTTTCATTACGGGGATGTTTGGTACTGAGTGCTTTAATAGGATAGGGGCCGAGAACAAAATGTCTCCGCTTAGGTGATCGAGACAAAATGATATCCCATTTTGAAGAAGCTGACAAATCCTCTCATTCATCCTTCCGGTAGAAAAAAGTTATAGTATCTTTAATTTAGATGTTGTTAAAGGATTTTAAAGTGTTTAGAGTAGTTGGGCTTGGAGGATTTCTTATTTTTCTTCCGAACAACAAGCTGGCACACCGGGAGAGCATAGTGCAATGGAGAGTTGTATGTTGTGTTCGGGAAGGATGAATTTTCTCTCGAAAAGGAATTAATCTATTAATTTTCTCCCTAATTTTATGATTTCTTTTTATAAAAATGTAGAGCTACCGAGTATGTATATATATATATATTTTATTATTATTATTATTATTATTATTATTATTTTGTTAATTATCTAAAGTTCGTGCAATTTATTTCGCATAATCATATTAAAAAATAGCTAGGTTTCAAAGGTATAAAATTTAAGGTGTATAAACCATATTATTGATGTTTTTTCCTTTTTTTTCTTTTTAAATGCATATTATTAAGATGTTGTTAATATTAGATAATAGAATGTATTGCAAATTAAAATTTTACCTATCATGTGGGTCACATTGTATTCGTTTATATATTTTGGAAGTGATATAACAACATATTTTTGGTTTGCAATTCTACTCTCCTATTTAATTAGCGTTCATATTACTTATAACTTTGGTTTATGATTATTGTGTGTATGCATAAATTATAGCTTATGGTAATTTGCACTTGTAGTTCTAGTTTATGTTTTTGGTTGAAGTTATGATCTAGGTTGGTGGCTTGTATTTATGGTTCTAAATTTTTGTTGCGGTAATTGCTCAATAATTTGCTTTTTAGATTATAAATTTACAGCTATTCTAGCGGTAAATTTAGTTTGTGGTCCTGAGTATTTTTTCCCGCTGTTAAAGTTATAAGTTTAAATACTTGTTTTACTTTTTAGCCGGGTTATAATTCATAATTTTTCGTTATCTTTAAAGAAATTTCTATTGTATTTCTACATCGTGGTTCTAATTTTTATCATACTATTGGAGAAGTGAACTGATTTGATGTAGAATTGAAAGTTAAAAGACAATATTACACCTCTCTTACCAACTTTGCTCTACTAAGAAATCTTTGTTAGAGATATTAGGCAGAGAAATTAAGGGTTTGTTGGTAATATTTTCGTTTCTTGTTTCTCATTTTCAATTTTTTTTTTAAGAAATCTAAATATTTTTCAACTAACTTTGTTTCTTGTTTCTCCTTTTTTGGGAACAGTATAGAAATTTTGGAAACAACTAAAACTAGTTTGTTCTTTCTTGTTTTCATTTCTAATTTATTCCAAAACATAAATAAAAAAATTGTTTTATCCTACTTGAATTTTTAGAGGTTGAAACCATACAATACATTTTTCTTCATTAAAAATAAAGAAACAGAAACGTTACCAAATGAACCTTAAGGAAACACAAAATAACCAATCTGACCGCAATAGCGTTATTTCCTTAAGACAATTTTGTTCCCTCTATGGTGCTTAAGGTTTCACGAACAATTATTTCTCAGGATAAGGCGGATTTACCAACTTGTGAGTGCAGCACTTCATGCACAGAACTCAACGAATAACTTTAGTATTTAAATACCCGTATAGAGAGAAAAGAGAGAAATTTGAGGGATGAGTTTTTCTCTTTTTCAAAATTGAAAGAACCCACAATTTATAGATTATTTGTAGTCATTTAAATAGTCACTTAAATAGTCACATCTTATCTTCTGGTATAAGGTTATGTCTTTTGATAAATGACATATCATTTCACATAAGTTTGTATCTTTTAAAAGAAACACGTCTTATTATGAATAGTTGTGTTTCTTTATTTTATTCAAAAATTTCAACAATTTTTACAATATCTTCCTACTCGATTAACTTTGTCAAAAAGAAAAAATCAATATTTATATTGTATCATCAATTAATCATTAGGGATCGAACTCAAAATCTTTTAGTATGTGATATATATCCATTACTGCTAAGCTATATTCGCTTTTCATTAACATGGATAAGTTTGTACAATTTTTTCCTTTGAATATATATAATTAGAGAAAAAAAAGGAACTTTCACATTTTTCTTACAATTAACTTTTTTTTTTTGATAACTGACAATTAACAATTAAAATGCCCGTGAAGTTGAACATCTTGACTTTTTGTACTGTGAAAAAGACATACATATAATTCTGAATTATTTTTTTTTTAGCATTAAAGTCTCTTGACAATTGAGAGTACCAATCAAAGAAGTTGAATTACAACTTTACTTCCTAAATTTTCTTTCTAATAAGTCCTTAAAAAAAACATCCTGATCATTTAAAAAAATTTATGCTTTTATTAAATATTCTAGATTAAATTTATATATAATATATATGCTTCTTTATTTTTAACCAAATTTAATATATAATGGAGATATAAATCTTTAATGAATTCGGGATCGATTAAACATTTTAAAGTTCAATAACATATTAGACACAAAATTGAAAGTTTAGAGATCTAGAGACACAAAATTGAAATCGAAACCTATCAAATATTTTTTAAAATTAAAAAATTTATTAGACACGACTACGACTATAATTTAACGAAAAGAAAATTTGAAATTAAATATATATAATTATATGGTGGTTAAGCAATGGTCCATATTGAATCTCTCATTGTCTCTAATGTTAAGGGAACGTTTTTCTCGTGGGTGACCCAAATGTAGGACAATGCCATGGTTATAGATGATGTGGATGGTACCTTCATCTTTATGGTAGACCCTATTGCATTAATTCACTTTAATACTTTATCAATGACGTCGATATTTACTAATATATATATATTTTTTCCAAACTCCCGTCTATTTAATTTACTCACTCTATTTATTCTTTATCATCAATTGTTCTAATATAGTCAACTGAAATATACATCAACTCATTAAAATTACATATCCCCAACTAAAATGTTGTTAGTAATTTGAATCTCTATCCCTGCATGTTGTATTAAAAAAATATTTAAATTTTAATCTATTGGCCTATGATATATAACGAAACTAGCCGATGTTTGAGGTGGTAGTTCGGATTGATAATGATAAGTAATACAAGTATTGGGTTTTAAAGATGACTGGATTATTATTCGAAAAGTAACTATTACACTAATTAGGATTTTTTTAGTTTTTTAATTTAATATGTTGGGTGAAGGTTGGATCTTCCAATATTTTTGTTTGATAATATAAATCTTAATTAGATCCGTTGGTAATTAAAATTGATTTTATGCAAATCAGAAAAGATAAATGACAAAAGCATTAAAATAATTAATTTTAAAAAATATAGGAATTACGAGTAGAGAGATAAAAATAAAATAAAAAAAACAAAATGTTTAAAATAATAATTTCACAACCTTATCTTTTCGTTTTATTAAAAAGAAAAAAAAATTAATTCAAATACAGAGGAAAAAACAAATTAAAGAAAAGACAAATTGACATGCTTAATCGCCACGTTTCATTGCAGCTCAAAAAATCTAGCTTTCTCTAATAAATACATTTATTTATTTCTATGGCTAATAAAAAAAGATTTGTAACTTTTCATGTGACAAATAATTTTTTAATTCTGGATTTAGAAAGAAAAAAAAAAGGCTGTTCCTTTTTCTTTTTTAATTAAGCTACTCCCAAGTTCCAATCCAACCGTCCCGCTCTTAATCTCCAGTTTTTCCAGTTAAATGAAAAATAATTGCAAACTGTAAAGATTACAGTATTAAAGATGAAATTATGGTGAAATTATTGAACCAAAGAAAAGGACGATGAAAATGGATATCATCTTCATCTCAGCTTCCTTCTAGTTCCTCAGCAGAAACCCACTGAAGCATTTTCACCAAGTCAAAGCCTAGCGCCATGGAATTCTTTCACCACTGAGCTTTTTTGGGAAGATTGAAGCTCAGATGTACTGAAAATTGGGGGAAAAAAGGGAAGTAGAAAGCTTTCAGCTGTGTGTTTCCCCATTTCTTGCCAGATTTAGAAGCCGAATCTAGGAACTGGGCAAAAACCCTCTGTTTTTTAATTTAATGGGGCACCAACAAAGCTTGGGTTTCTTTCTATTTCTATGGATTCTTTTGCTATCTCCGGTTCCTCTTTCCATGGCGAGGTTTGTGGTGGAAAAGAACAGCTTGCGGGTGACTTCTCCTGAGAGAGTAAGAGGGACGTACGATTCCGCCATTGGAAACTTTGGGGTTCCTCAGTATGGAGGTAGCTTGGCGGGTGTGGTAGTTTATCCAAAGGAGAATCAGAAAGGTTGTAAAGAGTTCAGTGATTTCCAAATCTCGTTCCAGTCCAAGCCTGGGTCTCTCCCTACTTTCGTCATGGTTGATCGTGGAGGTAACTTCTGTGGTTCTTGTAATTGTTGTTCCTTTGCATGTATTGAGGTGAAATTGATGTGGTATTGGTGATTTTGAGTTACCCTTTTGATGATATGGAAAATAATTCGTGAATGGGTTTGATTTAGCTTACTTTTGTCAACGCCTGAGCACCCTTTTGGTAGATTTAGTTACTTTCCGGGTTTAAGGTCCTTTCTCGTCCGTTACTCATTGTTTTCATACTTGTAGTTGAACTGGGTTTTTAACTTCCATGTAACTTCATACTTAGTTTGCTATCTTTTGAAATGTGTATGGTTAACTTTTGGCGGTTCTGCTTTGCTAAGTTTTTTGTACAAATTTCTCAACTTGTAATTTTTCAAACATTAATGATAATAACTTCGTGTTTCTTGACAAAAGAAACTCAGTTTAAGCCCTGCTGGCTTCTCATGGCTGATAGGTGGGGTATTGTTCTAAGAATTTTGCTCAACTTCCCCTTTTCATCACTCTTAGAAACCTGGGCTATAGTTGTAATTTCATTGCTCTTGCGATTTGGGCATTTTTTAGGGTGATATGCTAAAGGTTTTTGCGACTTCGATCTGAAATGATACATTAAGTGGCAAATTGTAAGTTCGTAACTCATATCTTTCTTTGCTAAAAATTCTGGGTTCTGGATTCTTTTGAGTAGTAGAGTGATTTTCTTGGATATACCATGGAAGTAACTGATCAGTTCAGAACCTTTTTCAATGTATGATGTAGATTGGCTGGATTATTTCTCAAACGTTGCTCTTCTTTTATCTTTTGAACTTGTAGATTTTCTTGTGAGTGACAATCCTTCTTAATGACTTTTGCAATTTATCTGATATCTTATTCTGTTGCCTTTTTCCAGATTGTTTATTTGCTCTTAAGGTTTGGAATGCCCAAAAGGTCGGTGCTTCTGCAGTTCTCGTCGCAGACCACCTGGATGAGCCATTAATAACTATGGACTCACCTGAAGAGGATGGTTCAACTGCAACATATGTAGAGAATATAACAATACCATCTGCACTTATAAGAAAGAGTTTCAGTGAACAATTAAAGAAAGAAATCAGTGGTGGGGAAATGGTCAGCCTGAGTCTTGATTGGAGAGAAGCTGTTCCACATCCCGATGATCGTGTGGAATATGAGCTTTGGACTAATAGTAATGATGAATGTGGATTTAAGTGTGACATGTTGATCGAATTTTTGAAAGATTTCAAGGGTGCTGCACAGATACTTGAGAGGCGTCGCTATACTCAGTTTACGCCACATTATATAACTTGGTTCTGTCCACAGGCATTCACCTTAAGCAGACAATGCAAATCACAATGCATCAATCATGGAAGATATTGTGCTCCTGATCCAGAGCAGGATTTTAGTTCAGGGTACGATGGGAAAGATGTAGTTATTGAAAACCTGAGACAGCTTTGTGTTTTCAGAGCTGCAAATGCAACTGGAAGGCCCTGGGTTTGGTGGGACTATGTGACTGATTTTCAAATTCGATGTCCCATGAAGGAGAAAAGATACAACAAGGAGTGTGCTCACTCCGTAATTAAATCACTTGGTTGGTGAATTGTGTTTGTATTTTTTATGTTGTGAAGGACAGTGATTTGTCACTTATCATGATGAATGTTCATTTTGCACAGGGCTTGATGTAGACGTGATAGAAAAGTGCATGGGAGACCCAGAGGCTGATTCTGAAAATCCTGTCCTCAAAGAAGAGCAACAAGCACAAGTACGTATTCCTTTTCAAGGACAGTAGCATTCAAATTTTCAAAACAATGGTTTCAACTTCTTTGTTTGCAACTATTAATTTAATACTAACAACAAAATCGTGCTTGAAAATTTATTCACTTTAGATTGGAAAGGGATCAAGGGGTGATGTAACCATATTGCCAACTCTTGTGGTCAATAATCGACAGTACCGAGGTTTGTTCTCATGCTTCTTTCCCTTGGATAAAAATTTGTTCAGTTTCTTTACATGCCTCTGTCTGTGCAGGAAAGCTGGCAAAGGGTGCTGTCCTGAAAGCCCTATGTGCAGGTTTTGAGGAATCCACTGAACCATCTATTTGTTTGAGTAGTGGTAAGTTGTCTTCTCTTCTCACAGGGATAAGTTTCTTCGGTTCATATGTCAGTATAGAAACAACTTTCAAGCGGGCTAACATTCATTGCAGAAATGGAGACAAATGAATGCTTGGAGAACAATGGTGGTTGTTGGCAGGATAAAGCAGCCAACCTCACAGCCTGTAAGGTAGGAAGCAAATTGTTCGACAGTATATCGAGCTTCTATATAGCTATTTGACTGTTTTAGTTGCCAGTGATTATTTTTAGCATTTATGCAGGATACTTTCCGTGGGAGGATTTGTGAGTGCCCACTGGTAGATGGGGTGCAGCTTAAAGGAGATGGTTACACCATCTGTGAAGGTAGGCAATTAGGCACGATCAGCTTCTTCATTTCTTTTTTGGTAAGAAAGGCGATAGAACATTGCACCACAATGGGAGCAGATGCGGCCTAAGTAATAGCATATTTGTTACATGATAAAAAAGTTGTACACAAATGACACAAATACAAAAACTAATATATCAGTGATATACGTATATTAATGATTTACTTCACATTACATATATCGTTGATATACTTTATCGATAATATAGAAATGGTATATTAATGATATACTATATCATATAAATGGTATTTTGGTCATATACTTTATCTTAAGTATATTAGTAATATTTGAGGGAAAAAATTGCAATTTTTGCAAATTATTTTTCCATATAACAAATTAGCAAATATGACAATCAATTTTGTTTCCAATTATAATTTTTTGGGGTCTTTTTGTGCTTATGGTAAGGAGTCGTTACTTTACAAGCCTACTATAGTTGCAAAGACCACCACTTAAATCACTTTACAAGAAAAGATCATGTTGTGCAACAATTTGATTGCCACTCTGTTGGGGATGGGCTTTAAGCTGTTAAGTTTGTCACAACACAACAGCTATTATGATTAGAAAGTGAAAGCGGTGAAGGTTTTCTCACCAGTACAAATAAATTCTTCACTTTTAACACGGGTTTATATTTTTCGACTACTATGCTCTATTCATGAACTTCAGCTTCCATTTAAGCTTGTAAGTTTTTTCTTTTCCCCTTAATTTTAAATATGTGTACAAGCTAATAGATCTTCTCTCTTCTTTTTTCTTAGCTAGAGGGCCTGGAAGGTGCAACGTAAATAATGGCGGTTGTTGGCAAGATAGTCGTAATGGACTTTCTTTCTCAGCTTGTTTGGTTAGTTATTTTAAGGCTTTTTGTCTTTACCTTTCCTCATTAGATTTGTTGGTTATAAGTTACTTCTTGTTGTAACAGGATAATGGGGAAGTTAAATGTAAATGTCCTCCAGGATTTAAAGGTGATGGTGTCAGAAATTGTGAAGGTAAACAAACTTTGATTGTTGGCGTGCTCCATCCAGGTTTTCTAAATTTTGGCTATTTTTTCAATGCTGAAGAAAGTATGTTTATGTTAATGAAATAAACATTTCTACTCCAGAAAGTATGTTTATGTTAATGAAATAAACATTTCTACTCCATGTGCTTAAGAGGTCATCACCTTGAGTATTTAATTTCATTTCTGTTGATGATAAAGGCTAACTCATGCGTTTATTGGAATTGTTTGTACCTTTATATATAGATAATCCTATAGTAAGTTGGATACAGAAAGTCTAGAATCCTTGTTCTGATGAATTACTCTTTACAATTTTGTTTGATATTCCTTAATCTCAAAATGATTCTGCATTTAAAGTGGTGATTTAAAAAATATTAAAATAAAAGGAAAAAGAAAATCTGATGGTTACTAATTTCTGCTTGAGCTGCGAGATGCCTCGAGGTCTAGGATAATGATCAGGTTGATTTTCTGAACTTCTTTACAACAATGATTCCTGAGAAAGCTTGTCCACTCTCTATGTCGTTTTCATTAAACAGATATCAATGAGTGCAAAGAGAGGAAGGCTTGTCAATGTCCCGAGTGTAGCTGCAAGAATACGTGGGGAAGCTACGACTGCAGTTGCAGTGGAGATCTTATATATATAAGGGACCATGATACCTGCATAAGTGAGTTTTAATTTCAGCAAGATTCAATTACAGTCGTCTAAATTCTATACTTGCTCATGTTCCATCATTTAGAGGTTGGAATAAAGGTGCCGTGTAGCTATGAGCCTATGACCTTTCTCCAGCCGAATGAGTGATGAAAGTCCTATCATTCCATCGATATTTTGTTTCATGAATATGTGAATTGCGATACTTCATTTAGAATGGCACATCATTTTGACACATAGTTCATATGAATGCAATAAGTTCTGTAAAATTGTATATTTGAGTAATTAATGAAAATATAGCCAACAACACCAGAAGGATGTAACGGTTTTCTCGTCTCTCTGTCATCTTGTGCAGGTAAGCATGCTAGTGCAGCAAGATCATCTTGGAGTTTCTTCTGGATTATTTTGATAGGCCTGGCTCTGGCTGCTGGTGGGGCATATGCGGTGTACAAATACAGATTACGGGTAAGTTGTTTTTTGCTTGGCAGCTTTTATACTGTCCATGTTCGAGTATAACCGATCTCTAAAATAATAATACTAGTCCTCTTTAATAGTTTGTTTTTTCGAGTCTCACGATGTGTTCATTCTGTTTGGAAACTGTTATTAGTTCAATCCATCAGTCTATTCTGATTTAGTGTGATTCCCTTGTGGTTTTTTTCATTAGTAGCAAAATGAAAATAACCAAACATATGAAAATAGCACACTTGATAAAATGCTTCTAATAGACGGGACGGAGACTATGTTTACGACATCCTCTCTAATGCCAGAAAAACTAGGCAGACCCGGCTTCCAAAATCGGGATATCCATATATAACAGGACCCATCTTCACTGCTGGACTAAAAATGTCTATGATTTTGTTTGCGCAGGCATATATGGATTCTGAGATAAGAGCTATTATGGCACAGTATATGCCCCTGGACAGCCAAGCAGAAGTCCCGAATCACGTCAATGGGGACCGTATGTGAAAGCGACTAACATCGTTTCATTTCAAGGATTCGGATGCCTCTGCAAACGAAATGGTTCGTCGTGCTTTCTAATCGTGGTCACCGAATTTTTGGACAAATCTTATGTTGTGTTATGTAATGTACATGGTCAGACAATAAACATGGAAAAGTGAAAGCCCTCTTTGATTTGAGGCTGTAGACTTGTTAACAGATAGAAGAAATTTACTAGACTCTTTAGGTTGAAGCATCTGAGAAATCTGCCAAAATCCCAAATTGCTTCAGTTTCCATCATCAGATTTAGCTTTCATGACATTGATATTTCTTCATGTGATAAGAAATAAGCATTTTTCTTATATTTGTACCAATAAAGAGGATTGTGCTAGGTGTAAAATAACTTCGAGCCACGGTCTCGAAGCAAAATGAGAATAAAGTAGGTCTCGGGGGAATTCGAAACGGTGAAGCGTTATTTTGAAGTCTTGATATCGCTCTGTTGCTAGCGGTTACATATCGAAAGGATAGTTGCAAAGTTGCAAATTAGTCTAGGACATTCATATGGGAAATTATACTTAATTATATGGAACATTTGATGTCTCTTTACTAACTTGATTAATTTTCATGATCTTGAAAAAAAATATTCAAAAACTTTGTATTTGTATGTATATATATAAATATAGATATTTATGTCGACCAAATTTAGGACGGTTGGGAATGCTCAATCACTAGCTGACTTTACATGAGGTTTGACATAATTTTAATTTGCTTGTCAATTTATTATAAAAATATATAGATTGGTTTAAATAATATTTGACATTGACCTGAAAAAAAAAAGAAAAATATTTGACATTCAAATCCATCCACCAATAAAAAAAAGTCAAATTCAAATATAAAAATAAAATATCAAATGGGTGATCACTTAAATGGAGCTTATATTTAAAGTTTGGGTTTAATTATAATTTTCATTTTTAAATAGAAGAATGAGAGTTTTATTGTCATTATTTAATCAATGACTTATTTGATATTGATAACGGAAATAAAGCCTTTGCAAATTTTAAGTAAGTGAATTTATTTTATTGATTTAATAAAGTTTTTTTTTTTTTTTAACAAACCTTACAAAACGAAGATTTCAATTATTAAGTTTAATCAATTTCGATCGAAATTAAATTGATGGCTACATCTTGAATCTTTTACGATATTTTTGGTCCAAAGTCAAAGCATTTTATTAATTGTAACAAAAAAAAGAGAGAACAAAACAATTAAGAAAGTACAAAATTAAGAAGTCAAGAGACGAAAATGGGACCTCAAAATTTTATTTTTTATTTTTTCTTATCACAAGGAGCATATGATGATGAAGCAAAATAAATCCAAACTTTATATAATATAAATTTCTTCTAGATGCCAAAAACAAAAAAAAAAAAGAAAGAACATATGTGAAAATCCCCTGAAATATTTGACAATATTAGGGTCGTGTCCAATTCTTGTTTCTCATTCTCGTTTTTTAGAATGATAGGCGCTTTGTTATTATTCATGTTTCTCATTTCTCATTTTTAAGAAAATTTTCCAAAATTGTGTATAAATTTTGAAAACAACAAAATCAAACTTCTGGTTTCAATTTCCATTTTTTTCAAAATATAAATAGAAGTATTGTTTTTTTCATTCTTGACTCGTAAGATTTGTGTTGTATTTTTCTTTTCTTTTTTTAATTTTTGTATTCAGTGTCGTTATCTGGTATTTTTTTTTTCAAAATAGGTATGTTATGAAACTTCAAAAAACCTTTATTATATATATAATTTTAAGACTAACTTATTATGATAATAATCATAGAGCTCTAGGGGCAACTAATGAATATATGGTAGAATATTATTTTGAGTCAAATGCTAATGCCTTTGTGTGTGAACTGACTTTTTTAAAGAGTAGTTTGACATAACCTTCTTGTCAATTTTTCAATTGGTTGACTGTTCAAATTATTTATTGGTTGATATATATTATCTTGACATTCTCATTTGATGTCACAAAGAAGAAACAAAAGGTCAAAATTCAAATATAAAAATGGAATTGATTGCTTAATGAGAAGAAATTGGCTCTTCAATTATTGTATGATTAATATGTAACTGGATGATTGACGAACTTGGAAATTCATATTGAGTTTTGTCATATAATTATCGATGTGCGATACAATGCAAGTTTGTATTAGAGAAATCGAACCAGTATAGAGAGTATGTGCTATGTAAATAAGATATTGAAAATTTTAGATGATGAAAATAATCTTATAATAAAATTTGTGTACTATTCTATCTTGTATTCAATTTTCTCATTCAAAATATTCGTAAATGTGAAGGAAAAGATAGAGACCTATCATACCATTGTGAAGATACGTGGGGTAAATGCAGAATTTGGTTCTGATTTTCGATATCAATAGCTCTTACAAACACCTGTAAAGATATCGGCTTGATCGGATTTAGTTGATTCGGGTCTAGTATGGTTGGGTGGTCCAACCCAAATGATTTGACTTGGGTGGCTTGACTCATGTCGCTTCCTTAGCTTTGATCCATTAAACCTGGTAGGATAGTTTTACCCATAACAACAAGAGTCTAATTTTGTACTTTATTTTCCAATAATAATAGTGTCAAATCATGTTATGGATGCCAACTAAAGCATAACTCGCCTCGTGAAAATATTATAACTATGACTAAAAGTTCTTGGTTTGCAATTCCCACCCCATGTTGCTATACTAAAATGTTAGGAATGAAATAGTAGGATATTGGACAAAAGTGGTGAACTAATTGATTTAAGAGGATACTTATTTTGTAACATTTATTTTGCATTTTATAAGATAAAATGATAAAATAATACTGCGTTTTGAAAAAATTTGGGAAGGATGACAAAAAAAAAACAACAACAACAACCACAAACTTGATTTGTTAAGAGTGTAATTGCCACTACAAGAAAAAAGAACAGTGATCTATTTGAATCGTTTTCTCATACTAGGTTGGGATTGGTGGAGCCAAAACGACGTTCGAACGAGCTAAGGAAGAGTCGGGATCAAGACGGGACATGTCGAGATGAAGCAGGGATGAAAACAGGTGAAGCGGGTGTTGCAAGCCAGAAGGGCCGAGGAAGCAGCGCCGTGGTGCTGTCCTGATGGGCACGGGCGGAGTTCGTTTCCGTTCGTAGCGGCATGGCGATTATAAATACAGTAGCTTCCGTTTTAAGATTTCTTGAGCTGTCACAATGTAGCAGTTGAGGGGTTTTTTGTAGCAGCCGACTTTGGGGTGTTTGGTAGCCGACTTCTGGTGGTGGGCTCGAGTATTGGCAGCACAGATTGGGAGATCAAGATCATTATGTTATGGGTATTGTATCTTGATTATCATGTGAATGTTTTCATTTCTGTACCTAAGTATAGTGTTTATAATACTTAGAAACTAGGGGCTTTTGTTAGGACCTCTAGAGGGACAAATACTGGGGTGAGATATTTGAGTGTTTTGTATTCAATCTCAATGATAGTGGAACCCGTATCTGAGCTGAAGACTGGACGTAGCCCATAAACTGTTGGGGTGAACCAGTATAAATCTTGTGTCGTTTATTGCTTTCCGTTTTTTTCTCTTGCGGTGTGTAATTTGTTCAGGTAACTGGATATAACTGTGGAAGGGAAAATTATTTAGAGCCATCAATTTCCCAACATACTATAGCAATGGTTTTTAATAGACTATACTATTATTAGTTAATAGTTTATAATGAAGTGTACAACATTTTATTGGTATAGAATATTTTGAGTAAATGAACCTAGTCTTAAAAAGTGGAGAATACTTTATAAATAGATTGCATGTTTAACAAAATTGAAGTTCAATATATCACCAAAAATATATCAACTCTTTTCAATTTAGATCATTAGCATTAGAAGTTACATTAATGATTAATGTATGGCAATTTTACATCAATCTCCAATCCCAAGATCAAACCAAATCAGTTGAGCTTCCCAAATATAACTTAAAAAGAAGCAAAATTACACATATTCCTTCTTAAAATCATACCCTCTTGAGCCCAAGATGAATGAGAGTCAAGAGAGTTATATTTCAAAAGCTGGTAAAATGGTATCTCTATATATATATTGCTTTGTTTTGTTTCTACAACAAGAAATTGTGACTATCTATTGTGATGCATTGTCTTGCTTCATGAGCTTCGAGTTAAGTCCGATATCCATTCCGTTGTAAGCGATTGGTGCATACATCCATAGATCATCAGAGCTCAACAGCTGCATATTCGATTCGATTTCAGACGGAATAAACTTAGATCAGAAAATGTACTCTCCCTTTAATGATAATACATCTCAAACTTAGTTGTTCAAAAATTTACATACCTTGATTTGAAGCTGCAAAAACTTCACATATTGAACAGCTTCTTCTAGCATTGTACTGATATCAACCTGCAGGCCAAGATATAGATGCAAATGAGACTCGGGCCAACGATTAGATCATTCGATACATGATCATAAGAAATTGACTTACCTTCGTGCCGTTCGGAACGAGGCTTTGTAAGATTCTCAACCTTTCATTGATTCTTTCTCTCCTTTTCTAAAGGGGCAAATGGAAAGAGTAGCAAAATTTAGTTCAAATTTTGGTTTCAATGTGTAGGAAAGTGAAGGCATGGGAGTGGTTTGAGAGGCTTACTCTTGCATAGAGGCTTTGAGGGTCTGTGGCTGAGCCTCTGCTGGCTCTTGGCTTTCCATTTGAGGTCAGAGAAGCTGATCCTTTTGAGTTTGTACTGGAAGTGACTCCACAATTGATTTCTTGAGGCTCGTTACAGTCATCCTCAGAGCTGAAACTGCTTGTGCTCTGCCCATTAGGACTAACAATGTGATCCTCTTCATTGCAGCTAGATCCCGAAGCGAGCTTCGGGCTCTTCCGAGATCTCACACTCCTCTTCGTCTTCTCCACCTTCGTTATCGAATCACAAAGCACAATGCTGTTAGAACCAAAGATAGAACAGAACAAACAAGCATAATTATTCTTAAGATGAATGAGCGCAGGCTTTATCAATCTCACATCAGGCAAACTCGGGGAACGCTTCTTGGGGTTGTCGTCGATCGAAATCGTCGGCGCAACCTCATCGTCTCTCATAGCTTCTTCTGCTGTCACCTCGGTTCTCCTTTTCGGTTGAGAGCTCTTCCCATTGATAGCAGCAGCAACAGCAGAGTTAGTAGGGGACTGTTGGAGTCTGCATTGCCTCGTTTTTTGGCTCGAACCGTTGTCGTCGTCCAAGCGAGCGGAGTCGTCATTCCCGACATCCTCCATGGAGAAATCCAAGGACAAAGAGGCACCATTGGGGAACCAAAGAGGGTGAGAATCATTCAAGCTATAAGGATTGTTGTTGCCTTGTGGAAGCCCATAGATATTGGAAGAATCAGAAGCATCTGAGGAGTAATAAGAAGGTTCTTCCATGGCTGCCATGGCCAATGCTGGTGATGGCTCATTGGCAGCCCAATAAGAAGGTGGGATTTCCAAGCTTAAACCTGAATTTAGCTCATTTGGAAGACAATAGTTACTGAGCAAATTGACCATGAAATCAGACTCCTCAGCTGTGTATGTTCCACTGAGAGAGATCCATTCTCTTTCTGAAATGGCTCCTATGGACTCCATTCTTGGATAAAAAGAAAGAGATTTTTTTTGGAAGTTTGATGCTTGAGAAGATGGGATTATGAACTGATGAATCTCATATTTATAATCTGTTACAACAAATATTTGTTGACTTCACTTGAATTTTTTTTTTAAAAAAAAAAACATCCCAAGTTTATTGTATTCTGTTTCTAGTTTAATCCCCTGAAGAGAGAGAGATAGAGGGAAACTCTACCAAATGGGCCCAAAGCCAACTCAAATGCTAAACCAACTGTAATGGATGGATTAAAAAAATGCAGATTAGTTTTCAGTTTATCCAAAGTTAAAACTAATACTTAACACCCAAAATTTTTGTTTTTTAGTTCAAGAGCTATCAGATCAGCTTAAATATGTTACGATTAGGCAGTATAAAAATGGAGATTAAGACAAAAAGAAATAGAAAAAGAAGAACTTGGTTGGTGGGTCTCTAAGAGAATGAGTCTAGGATTTTATATGTTCAAAAAATAGGTTTAAGTGGAATAATGAACTAATGAAGGTTGTTGTTGACAAAATGACATCTGATATCTAGAAGGGACTTAGATTCCAAAAAGAACTGCCTCAGATTACCCTATGACATCTCTTCTTTTTCCTTCTTTTTCTCTGTGTAGCCCAGGTTCTTGGCCAGAGGCGAAAAGGCTACACCTCGAGTCGTTAGAGTGAGAAAATAACGATTCGGTTCGAGTTTTTACCGCGTTCTTGGATTGATGTCTTTGTATCATGAGAAGTAAGGTCAATTTGGGTGCTAGCCATAGACTTTGGGAAGACTAAAAAACTACAATAATTTTGATGGGCTGTGGTGATAATGACCCTTTAGAGCCACATTCTCAAGAGTGGAATTTTGAGTTGAAACTTCAAGATGCCCTTTGGAGGTTCCCTTTGGCCTCATTGTCCCAAAAATTATCAACAGGGTATCTCCCATTTGTAGGAAAAAATTTAACTCAGCTGATCTTAAACTCAATAGATCATAAGGTAGTTCTCGTGTTGGATCTCGTATTAATATATCGATGTCTAGTGTAGCCAAACGAAGCATATAGATTTGCAAAGCATTTTTGCATACCAAGTTAAGATTCTCTCTTAGGAGAAAATCAGCCTATAGTTGGAGAAAGTTGAATAGAAACAAATTGTAATGAATTTTTGTTTCCTGGCATTATTCGAAAGTTGATTGAAATATGGACAACTTTTTATATATCTGAACTCACACATCAAAGGAAGTACTATAGAAGAATATAACGAAAGCTGACTTTATCCTAACTTATAACTTAAGTTTTTCGGTATAATAATTCGTTCTAACTCGTTAGATATATAATTGGAAGAAATTTTGGGTTTGTTTACTGAGAAAACTCTCATAACTTAAACAGATATATATTACATTTTAAATCACTCCACTGGATTTGAATCTAAACTTGGTTAAATTAACTTCTCTTTATTTTTATTTTTTTCTCCTCCTTATTTTATATAAATTTTGTGACAACTATCCCGGCATTATTGGTTATTAAATATAATTTCAAAGTCTTGCCTCGTGTTTGGCTTCCAAGAAAATGATGAAGAACTAAAAGGAAGACAGGAAGATTTCATCACTTATTAAATATTAAAGAAACTGAGATTTGCTTGCTTGGAAATATATGCTGCCTTTAAAGATCTTCACAATACTTAAAACAAAAAAGCCATAAGTTGGAATAATGAGGTGACAAATATCAAAACATTCGCTTGGTATTCTGTCACGGTTTAACTTTGTATAACTTGAAGTTATGAAGTCGAGTTGATGTTATACAATAGCTTTTCTTATCTTAAATTACGAATTCCATTAACACATCCACCTCTTACTCTAAATACCGATTTTTATAAACATAAATTCACGAACCAAATACCAATCATATATATTTTGAGTAACTAGTTTTAAAAATTTTTTGGTGGCGAAAAACAAGAACGTTTTAGTAATGATTTTTCCGCTGCATGATAACTTTAATTTTTACTAATCATGTAATTGCAACTTTTAAAAACAGGTTTGAAAAGATACTAATATATCAAATCAAATAAACCAAATATATATTTTTGTGTATGTTGTCAAGTTGAACTCATAGAACAAGTCCTGCAGATCAGAACTCTTGTAATGAAGAGAGAGAGAGAAGAAAATTAGTTTGCTTGGAATATTCTCAAAGCCTCCCACCAAATATTCTTGAGTTATTTTCTTCTTTAAAATGTTTCCCAAGAAAAATAAACAGCAAAAAGAAAAAAAAAATATATCAATTTAAGTAGAATATTTCCATCTACGTATTACAATTATATAAATAGAGTGAATATTTAAACTTACCACCAATGAGAGAAGACATTAATCAATGCATAACTATTTTAGCTAAAATTTAATTTGACGAAGATAAAAGTTTAAAGTTTAAAATTTGCTTACTCAACAAATTACAAACCTAAGAAAATATATGAGACTCTTCCGAGAACAATAATAATTAATAAATAAATAGACTCATTTTCATGAGTTTTCCATACCATATATGTTTTTTTTATTATAAAGAAATAGAAAAAGATATAGGTACATCATTTATTTATCAATGATATAAAAATGGTATATTAATTACATAAAAAGGGGAATATGCATATTTACAAATTATTTTTCCTACATTTTCAACTTCGGTTCATTTTAATCTTTGTGCCTTCAAGATGTTCGTTTTGCTCCTTTCATTTTATTTTTTATCTCATTTTTTTCAATCACAGTTTAAACGTAACTCGACACCATACTCAAATATATTTTTCAAACTATTTTCATATAACTTCATATTAAAAAAAATTCATTGGTATGGAATTTGTGTTAAAATACTCATTCAAATTCCCTTACCTAAAAAAAAAACTTCAGTGTCACCACATTTCTCCATTTTTTAACATTGTGGATTTTTTTTCTTTTTATTTATCGAAATTCTTATATTTGTTTTTTCCCAAAAAAAAATAAAAAAAAGGTTTGTACGTGCATGCCTTCACGATGGTTTCAACTGCCTTCTTGGAAAGAGCTGGCAGCTCCATCACCCGACCAAGTATGAAAACGCGTTATTTTCCAAATTAATTACTTTTTTTTCTTCTTCCCCATTTTAAATATATCTTTTTTATATAATCTAGAAATTAAATACTTAACTTGTATGTCTTTAAATTAATTTTAAAATACCAAAAAAATATGTTGTCTTTATTAAAGAAATCGTTTGTAAATTCTTTTCATCGAATATGCATGTTGTTTATATTTTAGTTAATAAATTGTGTACTAACAAAATTTTGTGGAGAACACAATCTCAATAGATAATTGGAGTAGAAATCTCCACCAGGATGGTGATGGAAATAAAAAATGAAATAAAATAAAATAAAAACTTTGTAGCAAGTTGCAAAAGATAAATATGCTTTATTATTCAAGAGAGTGAACTGAAAAAAAAAAAAAAGTTTAAATTACATCTCTATTTTATTCTATATACTTTGATTAATAGCTATAAAAACGAGATGTGAAAAATTCTTGTAACTTTGAATCTGTACAGGATCTTGTTCTAAATGAGCAAATGGGATGACACACGTCAAGGTGGGAGATTAGATCAATTTTCTGTCAAACGATATGGATGAGAAATAAATCTCTCACCATTTCTCGAGAGTGGATTTGAAATTATGTTAAATTACAAATTTGATCTTTAAACTTTTAAATTTGTGTCTAATAGATATGTTTGAACTTTAAAATGTGTCTAATTAAAAGTAGATCATTAAACTATTCGACATTTTTTAGAATTCACGAACTTATTAGACATAAAATTGAAAGTTTAGGATTCTATTAAACACAAAATTGAAAGTTGATGATAGTTTTTATAATTCAAATATCTATTAATTTAACCTTATAATTATTAATTTTATTAAAAAAACTAATAATTTGAATTAGTAAATTGTATAAATAGTGATATTTTAATATTAAAAAAATAAGTTTAATATAATTATTAATGTTTAATTATTTAAAGTATATATAAGACGAATATTGGACTTCGGACCCCGCTCCTGCGCTACCCTTATCCCTTGGTTAGGTGGTACTACGATAATCTTTTTTTTTTCCTTCAAAATATATAATATAATCAATTTTATGACAAAAATAATTTATTAAAAATAATTTTCTATATTTTGTACTCAAGAAAAAAAAATTATTCTTTATACGAAATGACAAGGGGATGTTACGCTCTTTGCTAATATGTTATTTTATATAATAAAAATTTTGTAAGTAATAAACATTGGAGAAATAAAAGATCACTATATATGTTTGGAAATGATAATTGTTATTTTTCGTATTATAAATGTTTACTCGTTTAATATTAAAACATCATATTATCTTTTATATGTTTCTATTTCAAAATTATTTATTTTGGAATGAAGAAGGGATTAATTAGATAATATTTCTAATTAATTATGTGATAAAAAAAAGAACCATTGCTAGAGCATATAAAATAATGGATCTTACTTTTGCAACCAAAATTCTTATTAAATCATAGTTTTTTGTATTATTGAATTGCAATATTATACAAATAATTAGAAATTTGAGTACTTTTGCTGACGCCATAATAAAATAGCAAGGAAATTTATTTATTTGTTCTTTTATGGAAACTCATCTAAAGGAAAGTTTTAAATTCTTAATGTAATTTGTAAATCGTATGTTTATTTTTTCGGTTAAAAAAATATGTGAGAGTGACATTCGAACCTCTAACTTATTGGTCTAAGATATATACTCTAATAAGTTAGTTTGTAAACATTATATTCATCTCTAACCATTATTTCATATTTTAATTTAATTATATTGTTATTGAGGGTTAAAAAATCATTATTGTCATTAGATTTTCTCTTACATTTAATACTGCTTATTAATAATAATAAATAGGTTAAAAATTATTTTTGAGTACGAGAGTCTAACAAATATTATTGCAAGGTATATATCAACTACTACTGAATTATGTTCACTTTGACTTCAAATTTGAAGTCTTTGAAAGCCTATGGAACAAAAATGTAAAAATCAGAAATAATTTAATAATCATTTTAGAAATTCGACTTTATTTTTATAAATATTTTCTTACCAGTCCCACTCTTACTCCCAGGCCATAATTTTTGGAATTATTTCATCAGGCCCAAAGCCCATCAAACAATAGTCTGAGAGAGGTCATTTATAGCCCAAACCCAAAGGTTGCAGATCTATTTTTAATAGATAAATATAGTTTTAGTTTATGAGATTTAATCTCGTCAAAAAAAAAAAAAAAGAAAGAAGAGTTTATGATATTTCATAAATAAATAAACTTATTTCTCTAGTTTTCATAAAATTTGAAGTTTATCGAATGTCTCACTCTTTATGCTTATACTAACAAGTTTATTAAACTCAATATCGAAAACTATTTTTTTTCGAGTGGAGAACAAACTTTGAATTTTAGAACATACACCTACTAATTTTCAATTTTAGAACATACACATATTAATAATTAAAAAATCATTTGACAGCAGAATCATCCTTCAGTCGAATGTTAATCAAAATCTTATCTAAGTTGGAGCACATGTATCCTAATGTGAGAGGACTACATGTTACGTTTGATTTTAACTTATAACAATAAGGGTCTTATCTAGTGAGCTAAAATTAATATTCGACAGTATAATTAAAATTTAAAGTCAGGGAAGAAATTTATTATTCTTTTTAAAAAATCTAGGACTAAACAAAAACCATCATAAAGACAAAATTAAAATTAAAATAGTAATTTAACTAAATATTGGATGGAATTTTAAAACGATGTATTATGTATATTTTAATTAAAAAGAAAAGAAAGAAGAATACATATACAATACACCCATTTTGAAATTTAAATTCTAAGCGTATGAAATAAAAAAAGAAGAGATCGTAAAACGAAACCCTTTTTCGCATCACTTCTCTCTTCTTCTCAGCGAAACACCAAATTCAAATTCAATTTTCGAAAACTGCTTCCCTCTTCAAGCTCTCTCTCTCACAGTAAATCTCGAATCCACAAGAGAGAAACCCTAATTCTCCATATCTCTTTTGGCGGCAACAAATTGCGCCATGGCAGCTGTTCCTCCGCCGGCTGCTGGCCGGGAGCTCTCGAATCCTCCCTCCGACGGCATTTCCAACCTCCGATTTTCCAACCACAGTGATCACCTACTTGTTTCTTCTTGGGACAAGGTAACACACTTAACTCTCTATCTCTCCTTCTAGCCAATTTCGAGCTCATCTACTCTTCCTCCTTCTCAGACTGTGCGCTTGTACGACGCCAGCGCCAACGTCCTCCGCGGCGAGTTTGTGCACGGTGGTCCTGTGCTGGATTGTTGTTTCCATGACGATTCTTCCGGATTCAGTGCAAGTGTCGACAATACCGTCAGACGGTGAGTCATTCTCTAGTTTATCTTGCGGATTCGAGTATGCTGAGGTTGAGAGTTTCTCTTATTTGTTATTTCTCCGGTTAGGAGCTTATGAGCTTCGGAAACTAGTTTAATTCTCTTTTTGGAACGTTTCAGGCTTGTTTTCAACCATAATAAGGAGGACATCTTGGGGAAGCATGATGCACCTGTTCGGTGCGTTGAGTATTCTTACGCGGCAGGTATACTTTTTTTTTTTTATGACGATTTGATTTTTAATCGAGTGCTCTGAGTTTTTGCTTTCTAGTGGAAGAGAACGGTTCTACATAATTTGTCATCTGGAGAGTTAATTATAGAATTGTTTTTGTAAGATTTGGTATTGTTCCAAAATAGTAAACGGTGGTCGAATGTCTATCTTTATCATTTTACGTTCAGAATTGGCACCTGTCATAAACAAGAACGAAACAATATTAGAGATGACACCACATACTTAACTCACTATAACCTTATTTATTGCCAAGTCATTGTAAATCTTGAGTTAGAAGATGGAATAAAAATTTGAAGAAGGACGAATTGAAAAATCTCGAACAAGGTTGAACGCTTAGCATCTTTTTTTCTTCCCTCGTGAAACTTTGTTATTCTTAAATTATTGCACAAACTAGCTTTTTGATAAGTGTGTGTTTAGTTGAAAACGCGGGAGGAAGGGATTTGTGATGCCAATTGCTGTTTCTGGATGAGAGAATTAGAATTATATACCCTCAGAGTCTACAATTGGAATATATTAGCCTCCGCATCATATGAGTTGAACTATTATTTATGCTTTTTCTATTTGAACGTGGTGAATAATAATGCTCCGTCATGCACTGGAATCTCTATGGTGCTACTCTTTAAATAAAATTCATACGATGCACTGCAGTTTAGATATCTGCTCTATTATTCTTATCTTAATGCGGGAAATTTGACAACGTAGGTCAATGGTTTTCCAGGGCAATTAATTACTGGCAGTTGGGATAAAACACTGAAGTGTTGGGATCCTAGAGGTGCAAGTGGGCAGGAACATACTCTCGTTGGGACATATCCTCAGCCTGAACGCGTTTACTCACTTTCTCTTGTGGGGAATCGTTTAGTTGTAGCAACTGCTGGAAGGCATGTTAATGTTTACGACTTGAGAAATATGTCTCAACCCGAGCAAAGGAGGGAATCCTCGTTGAAATATCAGACTCGTTGCGTGCGATGTTATCCTAATGGAACAGGTACTGATCCAACCTTTAAAATGAACATGCTGATTCATGGACTGTATTTCTTCTTGATAACGTAATTCTCCGTGTTGTCCATGTGTATGAAATTTTGGTTGATTCCCTGCTAGTCCATACTTTCCCTTTCTATAAATTTTGAGGGTATCTAACATCTTTATGGAAATGCTTTAATCATATTGCCTCTTTCTACCATGCTTTCTGTAAAGTAAGTTTAAACTAAACTGCAAGTAATCACTATCGTGGCTTTGGTACTGTAATTATTTATGGATTTATAAATTTTCTTTTCTAATTGCAGGTTATGCTCTTAGTTCAGTTGAAGGACGAGTTGCTATGGAGTTTTTTGATCCGTCAGAGGCTAGTCAAACCAAAAAGTAGGTGTTCTTGTTAGTTAAATGATAACAAGAAATGTTAAACATTGTACCTTCCATACATTTGTTTTTCATTGTGTTCTCTGCTATATGTTGAATTCCTTAATATCATATATATGCTTGAGTGGAATGAACATCTAAAGATGAAGAGCTTTTGATATATGTTTAGTCCATCTTATTACTCTGCTCAGAGTCTTGACACTATCCTCTGTTGCTTAAACTGTCATGTTTTTTTAATTCTTTCTTCGGATGGAAAATAAATGTTCATTAAGGAATATGAACTGTATAAAGGAGGCCAGCTCAGAAGCTATTAAAGTGTGAAAGCTAGGAAAAAGGGGTTCACCCCCGCAAATATTATCTTGATGGTTAAGATTCTGTATGTCATGAGAAGGTTATTCAGTTTCTAAAGCATCGTGTGATGATGATATGCTTTCTTTTAAGGCATACAAACCGGATGATATTTGTTTTTTATTGATAGTCTTTGAGCTGTAATTCCCTGTACATGATTTTGTCTTTTTATAGGTACGCATTCAAATGTCACAGAAAATCAGAGGCTGGAAGGGACATAGTCTATCCAGTTAACGCCATTGCATTCCATCCCATGTGAGTTTATGGTTTCATTTGAGTAATTGACTTAGCTTGTGTGAGAACATAAAGAGGCACCACATTACACTCTTTCAAAGTAAAATAGAGGGCCTGAACATAATAATCAGATAATTGAAGATAGTGTAGTTTTATAAGAGTGCATCTCTTCTTTTAAATCATTGGATGGGTTTAAATAATTTTCAGGTCACCATCATGTTGTGTGGTTAAAATTTCAGATAGAAATTTTTTATGGAAGGAAAGAGCCAAAACCATTTGGCAAACACTGTCACATATACGTTACACACAGAAGTTGGAAAAATGATTTACGTTGCTACATAGTTTGACTGGGTAATGATTTTACCATGTTAATCTTGGGCTGGAAATTAATAAATTATATTCTAAAGAAGTTATAATGCAAACAACCCTTTACCCTGCCTCCATATTGATCTGTTTGGCATTTGTTATTTCCATGCTGCAGTTATGGTACTTTTGCAACTGGAGGTTGTGATGGATACGTGAACGTTTGGGATGGGAACAACAAGAAGAGGCTATATCAGGTAAGACTTTTCCGCCAGTGGGCTAATAATTTTGCTTCAGTCCATGACAAGTACGATTTTTAAATCTCACCATTTTATTACTCCATCTTTCAGTATTCAAAATACCCAACCAGTATTGCGGCATTATCATTTAGTAGAGATGGGCGCCTGTTAGCTGTAGCTTCAAGTTACACATTTGAAGAGGGAGATAAACCGTATGTTCTCTCTCACTCTCTCTCGACACTCTCTCACACTAATGCCTCGATGCGTTTCTCATCGCCTTTTCTTTGTCTTGTTTTATTTTGTAGTCATGAGCCAGATGCCATATATGTCCGCAGTGTAAATGAGATAGAAGTTAAGCCAAAGCCTAAAGTGTATCCCAATCCACCTACATGATTACATTGACATCACAGAAATCTCTCCTGTGATATCCATGCTTGTCGTTCTGTAGCCCTCCATTGTTTTTCTTGCTAAGTTACTTGATGGTGGTTTAGAGCCAAGGTCCCGAGCGACTTGTGGAGTGCGCCCTTAGCATACGAAAGAGTCCACGAGACAGGCTTAACATATTTTTGTATTTTCTTTCTCTTTCAAAACTTGTGTTGTGTTCTTGGCGAGGTGAGAGAGAGACAACCTTGGATTTTGGGATGGACCCATCAGTGATATGTAGTATGTGTACAGATGCTGTGCTTCTGTAAACTTTCTCTGTTATTTAGGATATGGATAACACTTAGATTTTTCATATGTTTTATCCTTCCAACAAATTGTGTTCTTGATGTCTTTGAATTATCCAACTTGAGGTTGCTTAAGACCCAAACATGTTAGTTAAACTTCAGACCACAGACAGCCAAAAAGTAAAGCAAAATTTCGTTGTGGTTCAAACGATTGGTTCATGCCATATCACTTTAAAATAAACCAAATATAATACATTACAAACCTTTGGTTCTTAATTATCCATTATACTTTATTTTTTTGGCTCAAATTCTATTTCATCCTTAAGTTTTTATGTTAATTTGAATTCTATCTTGGTTGATAAATTTTCGTATTTGGTTGATTTTGATACATTAATTAATTTTGAAGATAAAGTATTTGAAGGGTTAGAAGGTAGGACTTTATTATCATCTTTTGTAAAATTTAGAAGTTTAGAGATGACCAAATATAGGATAAGCATAATAGTTCATTAACCGAAGGGTAAACTTTTGTTTAAAACGAGTAAATGTGTAAAAGTAGTTCGATTCTAATTTCACTTTCATGGCTAATAATTCCGATCTAATGATACTATAATATGGCTTTGGCTTTCTTTTCCATTGATTCAAAGTTGAAAAATTCTATTCCACCACTAAATTTAAAGAGAATATGAAGAAAGTTTTGGGTACCCCATGAATGATTCAGCTTTGTAATTGTTCAGTCTTGTTATCATTATTTGCTTTTTCTGTAGAGATATAAAGAGAGAGTGGAGAGAGGTGTGAAGTGGGTGAAGATCCTCCAAGCACCAATGGAGCCAGAAGCTTTTAAGGCATGCAAAAACATCATACTATGGCAATTATTGGGCAGCACCCAAAAAGGTCAGCTTAGATTTTTTGCATGGTGTCCTATAATAGCTCCTCATTTCTATGGTTTAAGCCATTGTTGGGCTGCCCTACCCTAAAAAACAATCACATTCCTTTTTCTCTTTGTATCCTGTACCAAAATTGGCTTATCTCATCCCAACAGATTTCTGTCAAGGAACCCACATTGAAAAGATAAGAAATCTTATAAAGGTTTATAATATATAGACATGAACTATTTCTCTTATCGTTAATTGATTTTGATATGAAACCCATGAATATTGATATGATATCATAACCCAAAAACTCAAATGAGCATCTGGTCCCAAAAAAAAAAAAGATCCGACTAAGATTGGTGAACCCAAAAGAGGCGAGCACCATCTTATGGGCACGTTAAACACATTGAAAATATAAACGACCTAACAAGAATTTATAATATAAATGGACTACTCTTCTCATAGCCAATTGATTTTGTGTCCATGAATATTAATATAGTATCAGTGCTCAAAAGCTCAATCGAGCATTTGGTTCAAAAGCGGTCAAAAAATGGGATATGATAATCATCGATCTTGATCCAACATTGAAAAGGCAGGGACAATATTGAAAAGGCAGGGACCTTATAAAGGTTTATAATAAGTTGAACCAAACATCTGTTGCCAAGAAGCTCCCTCCCTTTTCCTTTCCTTTCCCTTTCACTTTCCCAGGAAACAAACAAACACATGAGACAACATAATCTAATTCAACCTTGATCACAATGATCATTAGAGGTTTAATTTTTCTTGCATCATAGAGGCTAGAGCCCTTGAAAAGTTGAAAATTAAACACCCCCAACCTTAGGCACACCCAAAAGCCAAACAAGCTTCAATATATGTTTTAAACTTCTTGGATCTTATCTGATCTTTTGTAACATTCATCCCTCTAATTAAGCTTCAGTATGGTATAATGTAGTATGAATTTAATTAGAGCACACCCATTTGATGGCTTTGCTTAAATATTATTGATTAGGTCATGTGATTCTTCTGGATTATGTAGTGAACATACCACACAGCCAATGGCTGTCATGATTCACAATAAAAAAGAATTGTGGGTTCAGAAATTTGTGTTTAATATGTAAGCAAATGCATTATTAGTAGTACTGTAAATTGTTAAAATGTCAATATTTTGTTGCAGCCTTAGGAATTAGTGGCCATGTGCTTTGTGTTATGAAATCGAAGAACTTGCATTGCAAATATATAATAATTAATAATGTATGGAAATTAAGAGTACTGACTTTGATGAAAACTTAATAAAGAAGAATATTTTGGATTTCAGGCTCCCAATTGATCTGAGATGGTTACTTTTTGTCTCCCATGAATTTGCCTCATTTTGCAGTGCCAGCCAATGAGCAATTACTAGAAGATGTGATTCCCCCTTGAAATAAGGGGGATTCATTATTTGGTGGAGTTAGATATTTGTTCAACTTTTTCTCAAAAAATAAAATTATCATCTTTTGGATTAAGCTTTGCGATACTAAATCACAAAATCAGGTTTAAAAAGTTCCAATTTTGTAAAATTATTTAAAATGTCAAAGGAAACAAAATAGTGTCACGAGAAATAATGTCATCTTAATATAACAATCATATATTTTCATCGACATGACATTGTTTCATTAATGTGTTCTTTTAATATGGAAGTTGGCAAAACATACATTCAGTACATTTTATGAGTTGTTTTATAACTTTTACTCTTAACTCTGCAAGTGCTTGCATTAGTACAAAGTTAATAGTCCAACTTAATTAAGGTTAGTCACAAACTTTGAAAAATACAGGTAATATATCTAAAATAAAATAGAGATGACGTAAAATGTATAATTTAACTATAAACGAAAACCATACGATAAAACCCAACTAGTTTAAACTCTAAAATTCCTTACACTTTTGTCAATTTTCATGGAAACCCACAAAATTTTGAAATCAAAATAACTTTGAATATTGAGAGCAAAATTAAACATGAGTTTAGGAAACAAAAGTGGGCTTCCAACTTCATTCCAAAAGAGGGATCAAGAGCCTAATTAGCTTCTTTTAATTTGGGGATGAGCTTAATTATAATATTGAGATATTCTTGAGAATATACCATGCAGCTTTGATATTATTATAATATATGTAACATATGTCCTTTTGCTAACCCTAATTAAGCCGTTGACCCTCTCTCTCATGAATGAATGAGTGACTTTTGGCAACAGAAGTTCAACAAAAATCTCATCTTTTTTGAGTTTGAACATAGAGAAGTTCATAAATCTGCAGGAATCTTTTAGGGTTTTACATATAATTATATTATTAGTTTGAGATTAGTTGGTACAGTCAGCACCATGTGCTCAAGCTTTTGAATGAGCTAGCTTTGTACTGAGTGACGTCTTCCCTTTCAATTTTTTCAAAAAAATATATTTGAATAAGAGTTCTATATCCACCCGTTGCTTTCTCTCCTTCGTGAGGATTTAAACACACGACATTTTGATTGAATATATCCAAACGGGGGTAATTATAATGATATTATGCTATAATTGAAACTCTATGTATGATGTTAAGCTATAGTCTGAATTAATACACGAGGAGTTCCACTAAATACTACATTAATAAAGGTTCGGATGTAATATGTCAAACTTTTGGATTACGAATAAAGAATGAAAGTTTAATTTGGAAAAAGTGAAGAGAGATTTTTGAATTCTTGATGTACAAGTTCAACACATTGGTTCATTTGCTTACGGTTAAGTGTTTAAACGTCTATCTTCATGCTTACGACAAACAAAAAATTTGACACTTTTTCTTAATTTTTTGAAAAATAGAAAAAAATATATCTGTTATTTTTCTGTATTATTTCTCTCACTCTTATTTGTCAGTAATAGAACGATGGTGACCTTACCATCTCTTTGCATAATTATGTTAATTTTATGATATTTGAAAATACATATAAACCAAAGTTAGATAAACATATGTGTTTACTATTTTCTAATGTAGGGGGAAGAAATCATCCTATCTTATGCTAACTGCAATTAAATGTTTTAGAAATAAATAAGAGAACTGTAAAATCAGATAATTTTTTTTAAATAATAAAACCTAAATTTTTTTAATAACGATTAATATAGAGATAAGTATTCACCCGTCAGCACCTTATTAGGTTAAATACAAGAAAATATTAACCTCTTGTGTCTACCATGTGTTCCATTATCATAGTGCAAAATGGATTGAATGTTTCTTTTTCCTCATTTTTACTTTTCATTTCTTGGGAAAGTTACTAAAGGAAAACCAAATCCTCGCTAGAAAAAATCTGAACTTCCGATATTTTTTAACCCTCTTCATTCTTAATAGTCGAAATAATCTCATTCATATCTTCAAAACTTCACCTTTTTTCTGGCGAGAGAGAGGATATTTAGTGGGAACTTTGACAAGTATTGTAGCAAAAGGACATTGAATTTAGCAATTCCAAGCAAATGGGGGGAAACAAAATTGTGAAAATCCCCCATTTTACCTCAAAAACTGAATGATATGTAATTTCAAGAACTTTCTCGGGAAAATTGCAGAGAAAAACAATGTAACCTTGAGACAAACAACAGAACATGTACTTGTGGCACTGGTACAAATACAATACAACGTAATTTATTACATATAACAGCTTCGTTCAAGCAACATTGGTGTCCTTTCTTCTGTTGGGTTCCAAAATTGAAAACTTTTCATTCAAGTTCAATTAATCTTCCTCTTTTCTCTGGTCCCTCTGAAAGATTTTTGACCTTTTCAACAACCCTCTGTTCTCCAGACTTCAACAATTTAACAGTTGTCATATTAGATTTCGAGGTTTTGATATTACATACACATTATTGAAAACCCATCAAAATGGTTATTTTAGGAAAGTTGTTGCTTGAAAATTCTTACACGTGTTGAGTTTTTAATTGCTTGCTTCTCCTGAAAGGTTTCATCTTTTTCTAAGGCTTTGGTCTTGTGGGTATGAGAAATTCTAACTGTTCATATTGGCATTTGTAAATCACAAATTGCCATTTCTGTAGGTTTTCTTTATCTTGGGTTTTGTTGGGATTTACACGGAGAGTGGCTTGTGGGGAAGTTGTCTTTCTGTTTCCCATTTGATTAGGAGCCAATTTTATTCATGTGGGTTTATTGAGTACAGACTATACATAATTAAAAAGAAGGGAGAAGAAAAGATTGATCTTGATTCTTGACCCCAAATATTTTACTAGATTTTCCATGATATATTCTGGTAGATTCCTTAGATTTTCAGTCCAATTTTTAAACAGATTTTGTTGTTCGGTAGTTGATGTTTTGATTCATTCAATACTGTTATTAAATGACTTCTTTTCTTTTTTGTGATCTTGCTCATATTCTCACACTTGGCCAAATAAAAGAGAAGATACTTGTTGTCTACCGTTTTGGTGGTTCAATTAAACTGATACCAAGATGCTGTTTTTGGGTTTTAAAAAACTTGAAATAAGCTGAAACCCCATTGGAAGAGATTAATATTTATTATCATGTGAAACATAGCAATAACCAATAAGCAGGCATATGTTGGGTTTTGCAAATTGAAAGCTTTAAAAAAAGGGCTTTAAAAAGAGGAGAAAACGCACAGAGACAGAGTAATCAGAATTCAGAAATGAAAGAAGGCAGTGAAGATTAAAGAAAAGGAGAAAAAGGGGTGAGAGAGAGAGAGAGATGGAGAGTCAGATTTGCAAATTTTTTAGTGTTTAGAAGTCTGTTGGCTGTGTCTCCAGGGCTGACCCGGGCTCCGTGGGCTTTGCCGCCGACCAAGGAAACAGCCACTTTCTTAGCCCTCTTCCCATTTAAGAGAACCATTTTCTTTTAGAAAAAAATTCCACAAGTCCCATCTCCCAAGTCCCGAGTCCTATTTCCCCCTTCCCCCTCTCTCTTTTATCTAAGCCTTTGCCTCGGTTCCTGTCAAGATTCCATTACACCCCACAAGCATATATCCATTCCCCTCTTCAGAAATTTGGTCATATTCACAAAAACTTGGTCCCCACTCTGTCTTTTCCTTCCCATTACAGGAAGTATTTCTCTCTATCTCAGAGTTTTATGCATGTTTTCTCATTGGGGTCGTGCTGAAATTGAAGCTCTGAGCTCTTCTTTGCTGTAAGGGTTTTTTTTTTTTTGGGAGTTTGAGAAACTTCAAGCTTCTGCTCGGTCGCCGAGATGAAGTTCATGAAACTTGGATCAAAACCTGATTCTTTTCAGACTGATGGGACCAATGTTAGGTGAGAGATCTCTTCTCCCTTCTTCATTTACTTTTCTTTAATTCTAATTTCTCCACTTTTTGGTTTCATGCATTTCATTTTTTACTCCACTGTAAACTCACTCCCACCTCTCAGGTTTTTGCATTTTTTGGATGAGTTGGGGGTTCATCAACTCAACTGTATTGATTTGGTTTTCTTTTTTTCTTTTTCAAAGAAATGGCCTATTTGAAAAAGTGGGGGAAGGGTAACCGTTTGAAGCTTTGGTTATTGTTCACTTTTTGTTTTTTTTTTTCAGGATAACTGGCAAAAGCTTTCCAATTCATTTCTTTTTACTGCTTTCTATGATGGTATATTGGTTTAAATTTCTTACTTTGGGTCTCCACTGACTAAGTTCATAATTGGGGTCCTGATACTTTTTAATGGATTGATTTGAGTTCTCCTTTGTGTTGATTGTGTGTGTGACAAGCCCAAGTGCTCCTTGCTTTTCTAATCTGTCACTGTCATCAAGTCCAAATTAGTCTTATGCATCTCTGCTTGTATTGGCTTCCATTTAGATGTAAACAATTTCTTGATTTATAATTTGTTAGGTGGGTCCAGAAGAAATGGAAGTTATTTGATATTGTTTCCATTTTTTCTAACTAAATAAAAATGAATTAAAAATTTTAAAGTAACCATCATTGGAGCAGGTTTGGAGGCAATATGAGCATGAAAAATATTGTTTTTTTTTTTTTTGGATAAGTGGTGTTATCAAACATGTTTCGATGTTGCAGAGTAAAGTACAAAATCGTGGGGTCTAGGAAAAGCAAAAAATATCAATTTCTCTTTTTATCATCTTTGTGGGTGTCTAGCCCCCTCAATTGATCTCACAAGATAACCATCTGACTTTACTACCTTTGGTCGCCAATAAAGCTCATAGAGTATTTAAATCCTAGGTAGTTGGTGGTCACTATAGTTTGAACCCATTACCTCTAAGTTCATTTATTCTTTTCATTGGCCCCATTAATCACTAGCCCAACCATTTAAAAGAAAAGAACAATATAGTAAGCTAAAATGATTGATGTTTTATAAGAAAAGGCTAATACATTAAACACAATCCAAATTACCAAATACCAAGTAGCGTTGATATAATAAGAGGTTACTCTAACTTACAGCCAACTCTATCAACTCAACGATATGATCTTGTTGACTTGGTCTACTCAGCTGAGTCATATTTGGAATGAACAAACATATATCACAAATCGGAATCTGGCAAGATGGATATGACTCAGTAGTTGCTACTCAATTGTTTGTTACTCTGGAGCCTGATATCAAAAAATGATTATTATTTGAGATAGCTCTAGTTCAAGGATGTTACTCTTTTGTTAATCTAATTTAACCTCTACACATGATTGATATGTTGGTGTCCAAAATATTTGTTCCCACAAACTTGGAAACTGATTATAGATCGTTTGACGGTTAAATATATGTCTAGTGCTTATTTCAAGAAGAATACATTTACTTAAAGGTCGTCGTTATGTAGCTTAGAATGTGTAAAAATCTAAGGAGAGGCTAGATGCTATAGGAACGTAGCAACTCTCTAATATACATTTACTTAAAGGTTGTCGTTACACCTCTATGCCTACCATCCTTTAGGAAAAGAATCGCATCATATGCGATTGAATTAAGTTCACAACGCTTCTAACTAGTTCGAGCGACCACACGCTAGAAAGACATTTTGAAAAAGAAGTGGAATCCTGAGAAAAATGGCATATTCCCTTGCTGTGCGTCAAAACAGTCGAGAACACAATTATATAGTTGAGAGATTCCACATTTCATACAAGCTGTGGTATTGAATGATCTTTTAACTCAAGAATCACCTTTTTATCTCTGTTTTGTTATGGCAACAGTAAGAATCTTGTCACAATGGAATGCTGAATGGTTGTCTAGTTACAGCTCTCACTTCTTTTTTAAGCTTCAATTCATGAGAATTTTCTGTAGTGGATGGCTTAATCTGATGTATAGTAAGTTACTTGCTAATGCTTTGGATGGAATTTACTGCTATCTGTAGTATGCTTTTAAAGCTTAAACAAAATGCCTTCATGGTACTGAGATTCTAGAATTACCATTGAATAACATACGGTTAGATTGAAACAATCAGAACCAGGAAACTTTCTCATCATTTTAATAGAAGTCATATTTATTTTGCAGGTATCTTGTAAGTGAATTAGCCACAGATATCACTCTTATTGTTGGGGATGTCAAGTTTTATCTCCATAAGGTTTGCTATTTCTTAACTGTTACCGATATTCTTAGATTGTAACAAATTCTGTTTGGAATGGAACTAGGTAGTTGAACGAAGAATTTTTGCAAAATAGGCGTTCTGTCACCATTCTTATTGTGTGAAATTTCATTATTCTGTCACCATTCTTATTGTGTGAAATTTCATATTGCAATACAGTATTAAGTAAAAAAAGGGTAGTTCTGACTTGTATGGGGTACTGAAGAAGAACTCTTTCTGCTTACCCCAACACGAAAACGAAGCAACCCCTAAAAGTTTTGGCAGGCTAACATCTAATACACAACAAATTATCATGCTAATGATTCTCTTGATGTGCAAACCAGAACTGGCATGTGTAGAATGTTCAGTGAATTTCTATCTCAGGCTAAAGAATTCAGACAAAAAAAGAAGTTTGTACATACAGAGAGGGATAAAGAACTCTTTGTACAACCACTTTCATACCATATAAACATCAATAGTAAAATGTAATAACATATTATAGATGTTATCTTACTTGCAGTTTACTTACTTTAACTGCACGCTCTTTTGAAAATTAGCTTTTTATGCATCTAGACAGCCATAATACTGCATATCAATCTGTTATTCCTTGCACATAGCTTGTTGTGCTGATTACTTGTCTATATCGGTTTTTCTTTTTTTTTTGGCAGTTTCCCCTTCTGTCAAAGAGTGCTCACTTGCAAAAGCTGGTCACAGCTGCCACTGAGGAGCACAGTGATGAAATATACATTCCAAATATCCCGGGTGGTACTGCAGCATTCGAGATATGTGCCAAATTCTGCTACGGTATGACAGTTACTCTCAATGCATACAATGTAGTTGCAGCCCGTTGTGCTGCTGAATACCTAGGAATGAATGAGACAATTGAAAAAGGAAACCTCACCTACAAGATCGACATTTTCCTTAGTTCGAGCATCTTCCGGAGCTGGAAGGATTCGATCATTGTTCTTCAGACAACAAAGGCATTAATGCCATTATCTGAGGAACTGAAATTAGTAAGCAATTGCTTAGAATCTATTGCTGCAAAGGCCTCTGCTGATGTTTCTAAAGTTGATTGGTCTTACACGTATAACCGTAAGAAACTTCCCGAGGAGAACGGGAACAATCCCAATTGGAATGGTGTTAGGAATCGCAGTGTGCCGAAGGACTGGTGGGTTGAGGACTTGTGTGAGCTTGAAATTGATCTATATAAGCGTGTTATAGTGAGTATAAAAAACAGAGGAATAATTCCTAATGATGTGATTGGAGAAGCCTTGAAAGCGTATGCTTACCGACACCTTCCAGGCTTTAGCAAAGGCATGCTTCAATGTGGGGATCTAGTGAAGTATCAATCAGCAGTGGCAACAATTGTCTGGCTGTTACCTGCCGAGAAAGGCAGCGTCTCGAGTAGTTTCTTGTCCAAATTGTTGAAGGCATCCATTTTCCTAGCTTCCGAAGATGGGACCAAAGAAGAGCTTGTTCGGCGAATGGGACAGCAGCTGGAGGAGGCATCAGTGACTGATATTTTGCTGCGAGCACCGGACGGCGAAGCTACTATTTATGATGTTAATGCTGTGCAGAAAATGGTAGAAGTGTTTCTTCTGCAAGATCATAATACAGAAATCGAATCACTTGAGGAAGAGGGAAATGAGCTTCAAGAGCCAAGAGGGCCAGGAATTTTATCGGATGCTGCTAAATTGATGGTGGCAAAGTTGATCGACAGTTACCTTGCTGAAATTGCAAAGGATCCCAAACTACCATCTGTAAATTTCGTCAATCTTGCAGAAATGGTGTCTGGCATCACTCGGCCTTCCCATGACGGGCTCTATCGAGGCATCGACATGTATCTGAAGGTACTAGTTCCCAAGACTTAAAGCCTGAAATTATTCTGAAAATTTTGATTATCTATTCATTTGATGCGGTTATGCTAATACACTATAAATATTTGTTTTTCCAACCAAATTTCAAATAAAAGCTCGTTTTGATTTTGGACTTAATTTACAGGAGCATCCGGGGATCAGCAAGAGTGAAAGGAAGAGAATATGCAAACTGATAGACTGCAAGAAACTATCTGCTGAGGCATGCATTCATGCAGTACAAAATGAACGTCTCCCTCTACGAATGGTTGTGCAGGTACTATTTTTCGAGCAAGTCAGGGCCTCGGCATCGTCAGGCAGCAGCACTCCTGACCTATCAAAGGGCATCAAGGATCTAACAAGTGGGTCTCACGGAAGCTCAAGATCAGCCACAACGAACCCTGATGAAGAGTGGGATGCTGTTGCCATGGCTGAGGAGCTGAAGGCCCTCAAGGGGGAGCTAGCTTCCTTGAGGCTTGCAAATGGTGCAGGAGGAGGCAGTGAGAGAAATGGTGATGTTAAAAATGGAATCGACAAAGCAGCTCTAAGTAAAATGAAAGGCTTGCTCAAGTCAAAGAAGCTTTTCACAAAACTATGGTCAAGCAAAGGAGGATACGGTGAAAACAGCGGCTCGGATTCGTCGGAGAGCCTTGGCTCTGCTAACCAGGAGGAAGCTAAGTCAACACCTTCCAGGAACAGAAGGCATTCAGTTTCTTAGAAGTTCCATTTTGGGAATTCAGATCAGAAGAATTTTGTTTCCAGATGGGTGACCATTAGTGGCTAAAATGGGCAAGAATGAAGTATATATAGGTTCAAGAGTCTGTAGATTATATCAAATTAACATTACTATTTGAGGCCAGTGGCCACCCCCCAACAAAGAAAAAAGGGAAAAAAAGAATTGAAAAATCAAATTTCTTTCATGAATGGGGTTATTAAGAAGTAGACAGAGGCTTGTTTACACAGTAAAATCCCATCAAAGATGGATGAAATCATTCTCTAATATTATTCAGATGAATCAAATAAAGATCGTCTTTGCTTTTGAGAGCATTTTGAATTAGTCTATTGCCCTATTGTCTCCTAAAGAAGGTCCTACGCTTATTGGGTGCAAAGAATTTGTTTCAGAATTCAAGTCTCTTCATTCTCTTAAAAGAAAAAAGGAAAAGGAAGGCTTCCATTGGAGGAATCACAAAAATGTTCATTGAGATGCCAAATGTTCCCTCATGGCATTTTAACCAACCCCCTCGAAATAATCTTTAAGATTGCATAAATTGAAAATACAATTCTTTTATCTACTAAACTAAATCATGTCAATATATTCTTTTTGAAAATCAAACTATATGATTTAGAAATTATGGAATTCTTTGAGATAATACAAAATAAAAAGACGATTACAAGATGCATCTCGTATTTCGTTTACTATATAAATCAATATAGTACCTATATATTTAATAATTCAAACACCCATATAATTTAAAATTTTGCAACCCATGTGCTTTTTACATGTACCAACACCATCAGAATTAATTGGAATGGTTGCAGACTATAGGAGTGTTTGAAACGATTTCTAAAACACAAACATGATTTGACAAACAGTAAATCACAAGAATGACATTGTTATTATCTCGAGAATAGATCTAATGCTCAAAAACTGAAAAACAATAGAAAAAATATTAGTCAATAATATCAAAGGGGAAGCTCAATTAAGAAGCGTTAAATAAAGTAGTTCTGAACAAAAGAGTCACAATTGTCTTTCTAACAGTCATTTCATATTCAATGTAAACAAGCGCAAAAACATTGCAAAACATGGGAAAATCTTCATCAAATTCAACCCATCTTCTCTTCTAGGGGTAATTAGCCTCTTAGCGGTACTGCACAAATGAGAAAGTTGAAAATTTAGAAAATGGAGGACGAATCTGTGGCGCTGCAAATAATCAACAGTGGATACCACAAAAATAACTTGCCTTAATGAAGCCAATTTCCTTGGCATTGCTACGGAAGCATTGTCTGCAACACATTAGTCCATACTTCCTGATCAACCCATGGGGATTTCCGCACACACGACTGAGAAGAGAATTCAGAAGAAAGGAATTATTGAAATTCAACTTTCTCAAAATTCAATGATACTAAATAAAAACATTAATCACTAAGACATCCGTGAAAGATAATAATGTGTTCCATTTGCCAAATAACTTATGGGTGATTGACAAAAATGATCTAATCTTAATGGGGTTATAGCCTTTCAGGTTTTAACCCACCCTTCAATAGAATAAGAGTATTAGGCTTTTTTTTCATGTAAAGGTATAAATTTACTATTATGGCAAGCATTTAGGAGGAACGGTTCTTCATCCAGATAGACGTGAACATTCAAAATGACTCAACCAAGCAAAGAACAATCATTTTAGTTGGTAGAATAGATAAAATGCTAAAAATCCCAGCTGCTTATAATGAAGTAAAGAAACTTTGTCTAAGAACATAGAAAACAAAATCCCAGGTCGGACTGCGGGTCAATGAAAAATTTAAGGCAGAATAGATTAAGACCATGATCACTCCCTAGATTTAATATCCTACAAGTTTCCTCCGCGACCAAATAGAGTGACCAAAGATTAGTCAAGAAAGTAAAAAAATCCCATAATCAAATAATTATTATTATAACTTTTCACCCGAAACTATAGCTTAAATAATCTCTGATAAAGTCACTCCATGTAAACTCAGGTTCATACTAAAAAATTCGCGAGCAATTGTAATGAATATTATAAGCAGTAACAGAAGCCCCATAAACATGTACACAATTTAAGCGTCTCGAAATATAATTCAAATTGGGAAAACCTCAAGGACGATAGCTTAAATTTGTGTTAAAATAAAGAAATCAAAAAAAAAAAAGGTATCTGATTTTCTGTTTGATCCTAATAAAACACGAAAAGTAATACGTAATACATAATACATTCTCAACCGCACCATATTCTTCAGGTCCCATTACATGTTGCGCAAGAACTCACTTTAGCAAGGGAAATATACTTAAATATCGGTTACTCAGTAGATGAACTCCCAATTCATAAAAAAAAAAAAAAACTGACAAAAACAGATAATAGTAGTGTTTCAGTTCCTTCCTTCATGAATCAATTTCCTTGGGGAGCAGACGAGTGAGAAGATATTTGCTTACCAGGTGCGGGATCCAGGGCCGTAGTTCTTGGGGTGAGAATTCCACACGTTGGAGTGCCCCATAATTGTGAGCTATTGAAACGCTTCGAAATCCCAAAATGAAGCAGAAATTTTGCAAGGAAGAACAAGTCGGCTAAATGGGTTGATTTTATATGAGAATAAACCCTAATTCTGGCTATTTGAAAAAATATAAAAATACCCGACCTTGTTGGGCCGGGTTTTCACAGTTCGGCCCATTCTGATTTTCACCCACTTTAAAGAAAAAATGAGAGCAAACAATTTCTTTTTTAGTTCAGATAACAATTTTTTTAAATATATTACGTCACAAATATAATATAATGGTAGATTCGAACTTTTTTTTTTGTTTTGTTTTTAAAGGGAATTCGAATCTATCACCCTTTCAAAATTAAAATAATAATAATAGTTTGATTTGCTTCGAAAAAATATTATTATTATTAATATTATTCTTATTATGAGCGATAAATTGAACGTAGACATGGACAAATCACCACAGAACTAACCCTATTGACGAAAATCGGCCGATCCAGAAGTCCGCACGTGTCTGGCATGGAGCATGGTAGAGAACCCACGTTTTTTTACAAGAGCATAATCGCGAGGGACATGCTGGCAAATGGCGGAGCACGATCCCGCGCTTGAAATGTTCCCTAATGACCTGTCAAGGGATGTACAGAAGAGAGGTCCACCACGTCCAGCATAGATCATCTTATTTGAATACCTTCACCACCTATAAAATGGAGGAGACATCCATTCTACTGGTAAGAGGAACACACTACTAGAATATACTAAAGCTCTCTATATCGTCTTCTATCTCAACTACTAATTTGAGCGTTTGAGGATATTTGACAAGGCACTCCTTGCATGAGAATTTCTTCTGATGTCGTATTTTGTTGGATACGTCAGCAGACTATATTTCGGCATCGATAACAATAATAAATTTTGGTTATATTAACTATATATAATGTCCCCAAATATGGCTTGGCTAATTAGAGTATGAGTATATTTCACGAGTAACCTATGGAGTAACTCAAATTTTTGTCTTAAAAAAATAAAATTTTGAATGTTTATTTCTATATTTGCGTTGTTGAATTTTATAAAAACAATTTTAAAAAATTAGATTTTTTTTAGGATGATAGGATGTTAAAATTATTTTGAAATAGAAAATAAAATAAATTTATTTGAGCAACCTTCGAGGGATAAAACTCTTGAGTTATATTAGCTTTGATAGTTGATTGTGAATTAATAACAACAAAATCGTTATATTTAACCATAATAAAATGCTCATAAGTAGGTACAAATTATTAATTATAAAAAAAAATTAGAACAACTTATAAAACAAATATGTTCAAGTAAGCTCGTAAATGAAAATTTAACTAAACAAAATATAATATAACATCATATTCAAATTTAAAATTTACTTTAACAGATCAGAATTTTAAAATTAAAATTACATTTTCCATTTGTTATTATCCAATTTTTTTTTAGTACATTTGTTATTATCCAATTAAGTATGCCTTAATTTCTTAAAGGACTATATATTATATATATAAAGTGTAATTATGAAACTATGCATAAACACAAACACAGAGTAAAGATTCTGCAAGTCGAAGCAAGCAACTCTTGAAATTCCGTCTCCTCTTCCATGGCGAACGAAGCCGGCTCCTCCTCTTCGAACCTTCCGGTATCGTAATCTCTCCGACCAGCTCTTTTTTGTTTGTCGGAAAAACTCCCAGTTCCGATATTTCTTCTCAATTTCTTCTTCTAGCTCTTTGACGCAGTTGAATCGCTGATCTTGGCTAATGTTGTGTTCTCCGTAGTTTAGGAAATCAAAGAGAAAATTCATCTTTTCTTTACCATTTTTGGCTTCTTACGAGGATTTTCGTCTCCTTTAGCCATGCATAATTGAAGAAGAAGGTGAAGAGCAGTTATTCGGCGCCGAAGCGGGATGGGTAGAAGCCCTGACTTATTGCGATCACCTGGCTTCGCTGTCTTCCGACCTCGCTCACATTCCGACCCCTGATACTGCCTGCAGCGAGTCAGTTTTTCTTCTCCCTAAACCGTGATATGAACACCAACGCCATTTCTGTTTAGTTCTTATTTGCTATTAGGCTTGGCCTTGGGGTTTTGGAGCTCTCTGTAGGATTTCCATTTCTATAGTGGACATTGCTGGAGGGTTGTGTGCTGAATTTATGTTTTGATTTGATAGTTTTGGGGTGTCTTTCTTCTGGAGATTTTGCTTTATTAATCTAAATTTGTTTTTGACTGATTGGTAAGTGTGTTTGGGTTCAAGATGAAAGGTTTGTTATGACTTATGATCACCGGACATAGTAATCCAACCAATACTAAATCTTGGTGGGTAACTTGTTCGTCATTACAAACACGAAATAAAGGATGCAAGGAGTCGTACCCTTTGTCAAGTCCATCTTATACATTGTAGTTTTGACCTCACCTCCTTATTTACAGTGGACCTTAGGCATCTATGACTGAAATTTGGTACCTATCTTCAAAACGTTTTACTTCAAAGTCCTGAAATAACTGTGTAGCCTGTAAATGGGGCCATGGCCGGTTTTGGCAATTTTCTTTTTACAGGATTCAAATAGGAAATTAAAAGAGAATTGCTGATGATTACATTTATTCTAACCCATCAACTTAAGCTTAACTTAAGCTTTTGGCTTCATTGGTGACTTAATCATGCTTAAGATGGTATTAGAGGTCTTGTGTTCGGATCCCTAATTCCATATTTGATGATTAAAATTTCTTCTCTTTGGTGCTATCTCTAGTACGAGTGATAACGTAGGCAATAAATGTTTGTATGCCATTACTTGTAAATGGTATTATAACTCTGTTCTGTGCCTTCAGACCCATTTTTGTGTTTTTTTTGTTTTTAGTTTTATACTAAGTTACTAACTATGATTTGGAAAAAAAAAAAACCCTTTTATTTGTTTTATTAATTCATGGAACAATCTTCATATGCAAGATGTCAGAATCCCAAGGAGAACTGGTTGTGCTTATGCTGCAAGAATATCCTCTGTAGCCGTTTTGTGAACAAGCACATGCTTCAACATTATCAGCAATCAACTCATTGCCTTGCACTCAGCTACAGGTGAATGCAATATTGTTCCTAAAGTAGTTCTTATGCTCTAAGTTTTCTCCTATATAGGCTTGTCTTGCTTATTAATAGTTTACATTTGGTAACAGTGATTTGTCGGTTTGGTGTTTCTCCTGCGATGCGTATTTAGATGCACAAGTGATTCAAGAACTACGACCAGTATATGAAGTTGCCTATATATTGAAATTCGGCGAGGCCCCACCATTTCGTTCGTGTTAATCATCCTGCAGGGAGGACTGAAACTTCGGACTAGTGTTATAGTTTTGATAGTCTTGATATCTTAGATGTCTTGGTCTCTTGGTTTGCAGAAGTGAGAATTTCAAGCAAATTGCAACGATCTTCAATATGGATTGGTTTGGGTTATCAGATGCTCATGATAAGGTGTTGATGGTTTCTTTTACAGAAATTTAGGGATATATTGGAATCTCCTATCTTGTTCAAGAAAATTGAAGGGAATTTTTACTCAATAACATTAATGAAATCAGCCCTCCATTTTTCTCATTCTTTGTTTTCAAGCAGTTTCAAGTGTTGGCTTTTTGGACTGGAGAAATTCTGCTTCTTTTTTGGCTGGAAAGAAATTTCTAGGCAGTTTCAACTATGCATCTAGCAAATTATTCTACTGAAATGTTGCTTTCATGTCGTTCTCCTCAATCCAGCCTCCCTTTCATTGAAGGCCTTGAAGAAAATTGAAGAAAAACAAAAGAAGATTATGAAATAGAGACATCAATTGATCAATGAACGCAATAGAAACCTCCATCGATTTGGCCACATAAAACCATCGTTGTTGCAGCATTGCATAAGAATTAGTACGATCATCTTTTCAACTGTAATTACAATTAAATATAGACCTCAACAAGCTAGTTGTAGCTAGTATCAACGTCTATCATCTTCCCCAAAATTTGGCAAGCTTCCCAGCACATCACAGGCACGTTGCTCGCACTCCAATTTACCCCATCTTGCATCAACTCGTTCGCACGGGAATATTGGTTTTCCAAGACTGCAGTAGTAGCCATTGAAACAGGGGTAACCAGATTAACACAATGTAAAAACACAGGTTCAATTGGTTCAAACATGACTTATATGTACATATATATTTTAATTCTATTTTAACAACAGTACATCAATGAAAAATAAAAGGGATTAATGGAAAGTTGTGTTGTGAATCAACTAAGTGAAACCTAAAAGTTACATTTACCGAGTTGAAGCTAAAAGTTACATTTCATACCAAATTTGAGACATTACCTTCTGTTGACAACATTATGTACACGGCATAGCCATCGGGAGAACTCAGCATGAGATCCAGTCTCTACGGGGTTTGCTCTGTCAAACAATCACCAAATGTTACCACTTGAAGATTTATTTTAAGGGAGCATACACTGACACCAAGTCAAAAGAATAATAAAGATCAATTCTTCTACTTTTTAGTAACCAACAAGTATTAAGCGTCTAATACGTATGAGACACGAACATGCTATCCAAACTAAGGGAAGGGATAAAAAATGTACCTCAGAACTTCTTTGAAGTGGTCTGCACATTCTCCACAGGGATACATGCGAGATAATATCGCCATCTGCACACGAAACACAAGTTGTTCCATATAGCCATTGTCACATGCTTTGTCACAAGCTCGAGAACAAGTCCGTCTAGGTTAAAAAGTGTACCTTACCAATTCTTTTACATCCTTCTTCTGCTGCCTCGTTGGGTGATCTGGGTACTGACAAAATTAAAGATCAACAATTCAATAGATTTGAATGGAAGGCATGGAATATTATATATTGAATTGTTTTCTCTTGATGCTTGAACAGGGTGGAAGGGCAGAAGATTGTTGTTTCAAATAAGAGATAGACTATTCATACATAGGAAAAACTACACAAAAAGAAAAGACCTCCCTCAAAGCTAAGGAGATTACAAAAACAACTTCAGTTGGTGAAAAGCATCAAGAAAAGGAATAATTGCAAGGTTCTCTTAACAGTTTCACGGTGAAGAGGCCAAAAATCTCACTAATTTCCAAAAATCAGTGTCCTGTTTTATGCTTTCCTTGACAGTTCTTCTATGTCTTCGTAACCAGGTTTCCCATATCAGAACCTTAAACAAACTAATTTGAAAAAAAAAGACCAGCCTTGCATTTGAAAGGATCAAAGGAGTTGATCCAATAATTCCTCAACGATTATATAACAAATTCAAGAGCATACTTTTAGTTTTGTTCAAATGCGGACCTAGAGAATAATACTTGGAACATTGCATGTAGAAATAAAGGGGGGAAAGGATTCCACAGGTCAATGATGGAATACAGAATTAAAAAGGTAAACATTGTTGAGAAACCTGAGCAGCAAGGATGTGAAGAAAAGTCCAGGTAGCTCTTCCAAGCGCTTCCTTAGTTACAGGGGCAGCAGGCTTTCCTCAAAATATATGAACAGATCAAAACCAAACCAATATGAAAATTCAAATTCAGCTGCATGGGCACTGAAAAAAGAAGTTGATACATGGCTGAATGATAATTGCAACTGAACAAGTTTAAATTTTTCTTTACAGTAACAAGAAGTAGCTACCGCAAGATGGATTTCTTTTCGTTTTTTCAATCACTCTCTTTTTATATCCAACGTTCTTGTATACCAAGCTCCATTTTTAGACTAAGTTGGAAATTAGCATCCATTTAGTTATGATCATGGGCAATAAATCTTATTGTGTTCTCTTGTTCAGTTCATGAAATCCATGAAACTGTTTTATTTGATGCTAAAAGCTATTTCTCAAGGAATTATAAATTAGATGGACATGCAACAAGTTACAATATACAATAACCTGGAAAAATAATAAACGAACAAAAAAAAAAACCCCATTGCTTTTCTTTCAGAACTTTTATCAAACACTTACAGAGCATCAAGTCCATCCACGAAAACTACAGCTCCAGCGACCAAAATTTGAATATTACGATACAATAGCAGGCTACAGAAGTAAAGAAATGAAAAGAAAAAACACAAAAAAGTACCTTTTTGAAAATGTCATTCGATTGCAAGTAAGCGGTGTCGGTATTCGATGGAGTTGCATGGGATGATGAAGACGGAGAGGAAAGAGGTTTGAGGCTGGGCCGTAAATGGTGGGGGGGCTGCGCAAGAAGATTCGAGAGATGGGTTTGAATGGAAATCGAAATTTTTTGGGCAGTTTGAAAGAGAGCTTGCAGAGGATTCTCAGGCATGTTCGGAATCTGCGCGGGAAATCACTGCGAATGTTTTGGGATACCTTCGACGATGCCTTCACAAACAAGGCAATAAATAAATATGCACCGCATTATTTTAAGTAAATAAAATCTTTAAATACTATTTTGCTTCCCCGAGTTTTAACTTTGATTTATTTGGATCATATTTGATTTAGTATATGTACTCTTTATTTTTATTCATTTTAATTATTATACTTTAATTTTTTTATCTATTTATTTTTTTAAAAAAATTATTTTATCTTAATTTTTCGACCATAATTTTAACATGACACTCTATTTGTTAGATTTTTTAAAACATAGTAATAAATTTATATTAAAACGTTTCTATTGTATATAAAGTTTATTTTAAAAGTTTTGTAAATATGAATAAAATTAGTCATTTTCTAAAAGTACAAGGATCAAAACTGATATTTTAAAGGTAGAATAATTAAAATGAACAAAGTTTTAAAGTACTAGTGACAAAATTTAATATTTTAAAAATACAAAAACTAAAATAAACCAGCAAAAGGGTAGAAATCAAAATAATATATAAACCTAAATAAAATTTTAAAAAAAATAATGAAGACCTTCTCAAATTTATAATTATCACACTATTTAAAATGAGAATTTAAAAATAGTTGATTAGATTTTTCTAGTACAACATGTGGGACTAAATAATCGAATTCACAATGGTTTGATCGAAAATAAGTATTTTAATTGGTTGAACTATGCTTAAGTTGACTATAATAATTGATGTTGTGTCTTTTTCACTTATGCACTAACAACCATTTATGTATAACATATTATATATATATATATATTTTGTTCTACCGTGTCAATGTCATTACTTTTCTTTATTAAATGTGTGCCACCAAATACCAATATATTTGAAATCAATCTACCACATAACTTTTAAATAATATAATCATCGTCATACCACATGAATATTAACCTAATTAATTTAACCATTCATAAATTTATTAAATTATAAAGACTAAATAAACATAAGCTAGGACTACATTTATATCTCAAATTTGAAGATAACATAATTTCAAAATTTATGGTGGTGTTTATCGTCCAAACTTCAATTACTTCACATATTGTTTGGAGTAATATTTATGTTTGTACTATTACTAGATAGTGTTCGTTCTAGAAACCCAAATTTAGATAAAATTTGCTCGGGATTTATTTTCATAATTGAATTCGTTCTGGCTTTTATGTTTATGCATGTGATGTTGTTTCTTCTTATTTTGTTTTGTTCTTGTCTTTATTGTTTGTGTTCTGCTGCTTTTTTTTCGTCAAATTAACTTGTTTATATGGTGTCTTGATCCAAATATGAGATATTTGCGAAAAAAAAATTGTTGGAGATATTTTAGAGGGTACATTAATTTCACAAATAATGTTATTAAAAAAATTAAGAAACAATGTAACTTTCACAATAATAACCATAAGAAATTATAAAATTAGAGCATGTATCCAAATTATTTACAAACTTGAATAGATTTAAGGGTGTCATATATGATCTGAGTTGAAGTGAGAATTGACATGGTGTGGAAATTGTGTACATTATAAGCCATTTAAAGAAAATAAAATTGTAAGTGCTTTGCTTCTTTTCCCAAATATATTTTTTTTCCTTTAATTAATATAATAAGCCTACATGGAACATTTTCTACCCCTTTGACTCTTTGAGTTCCAACTTTTTGTTTGTCGATCTTATGATTGTGTTTTTCAATCTATGATTCCTATAAATATGTCAATAAGGAAAAAATAAACCATAGAATTAATTAATGATTCCTACAAATGTATCAATTTTTCAAAAAGAGAGAGAAAATATACGTTGATGGGATATTTAGGCCATAATTAAAATAAAATATATATGGATATAGGCTTTGAATATCACACCAACATATATTTTCTTTCCTTTTATAAAAACTATGAAATATTTTATGATTTATTTTCTTTATTTAAACTTAACATATTTATAAAAATCTCGAATTACATAATTAGAGTTTAATATCCCCTAATATATATATATTTTATTTTATTTTATTTCCTTTCTTAAAAGTTGGCATATCTGTAGGAACCATGAACTAATTTTGCTATTTATTCTCACTCTTTAAAGATTGTGACATATTTATGGGATTTTTTAAAAATGGACATATTTGTAGAAATCCCATGGCAAATTTAAAAAAAAAAAAGGAAAAAAAAAAACAAAACAAAGGATTGAAACTCTTGGGTTTTTAAGAGGACAAGCATGCCACTAGCTAGTAAGCCAATAAGAAAGTTTGATAAAAAAAAAGTATAATATATATAAATATATATGTATATATATTATAATTAAATTTAGTAAACCTTAAATTATGTGTATTGTACAAAATTTATGTATGGCAGCTACGTGGTTCCGTTGGAGCTAGCTAAATAAAGTTACTGACAGACACATGACTTATGGTGAAAACACGTCTATCATATGCGATTTATTTATCCTTTTTAAATTATTTTCAAAATCTCAAATAGACACAAGATTACGAATGTATAACCTAACAAAACTTTTAATTTTAACCCATAAAGGGGAAAAAAAAGAAGCATTAAACATTACACTGAAAAAGTGAGTAAAAATAAAAATGACGTGTGTTGTGGAGTTGTAAAAAAACAAGAAACAAACATGCCCTTACCTTTTGATTCTTGATAATGTTTTTCTTTCTTTCCGTACCAAAAATATAAAAAGGGAGGCGCGCACGTGCGAATTGACACGCGATGCGATTGGCCGAGAAGAACACATTCGCAAGAACTCTCGTCGAAGGTCGCTGTTCGGTCTCCCATCTGCAGATCACCAAAAGCTATCCAGAAATTTAAGAATAAGAGAAAACAGTGCTGATTTCAATCACAACAACGGACAAAACCCCCAATCATTGATTCCAATTACTTCCTCAATTTTGTAAGTATCTCAAATTTTCATTCCCTCCTAATTAGGTTTTTTTTTTTCCACTTCGCTGTTTCAGTTTGAAGTCGCTGTCGAATACTTTACGTTGTCATCGATTCCTTTCTTTTAGGGTTCTACTTCTCATTGTTTCGACGGAGGTAAAAACCCTTGTCGGGTCGGGGCGCAATTTTGCTGCAATCGATGTTTTTGTTTTGAACGTAATAAGGTTTGGTTTGGGCCGTTCTTCAGTTTGGGGATTGTTCGTTATGATTTCTAAGCCTGCCAATTGGTGATTAATCGTCTAGTACAATAATGGGACGGTTGGGGACTTTGGTATGAAATTAGGGTTTCTGAGTTTCTGATGATTGATGAAAGATTTCTTGCCCTTTCAGTCTACTTCTTGGTGGGGGATTCTGAGGGCTTTGTCTCAGTTCAGGCATTGGTGAGTTTGGTGAAGTGAAAATGCTCCCGAGGAAAGACAGTTCTCGTATAGACACTTTGGAGCTGAAAGCGATGATCTATCAGAAGCTTGGACATCAGAGATCGGAGAAATATTTTGATCTGCTCAAAAGATTGTTGAGTTTAAAGATTAGCAAAAGCGAATTCAACAGGTTTTGCATTCAGATCATTGGGAGGGAGATTGTACCTCTCCATAATCGGCTTATTAGAGCAATTCTTAAGAATGCTTGTGGGGCTAAAGCTCCACCTGTTTTTAGAAGTTCCAGGAAAGTTGGAGGCAATCTCAGTGTAAAAGTTTCGAATGGGTATCAGCGGAGTTGTCTGCAATCACTCCACGGAGATGCGTTCCTTTCTTCCCCACGGAAGGGGAGGTCACCGGTCAATAGAGACCGTAAGATTCGAGATCGCCCGAGTCCTCTCGGGCCATGTGGGAAGCCCCAGAGTCTTGCACAGGAAGAATTTGCTTTCAAGGCACAGGAACAGCAAAGTGCAACTGAGTTGCATTCTCTTGGCAGCCGTCCTCCTGTCGAAATGGCGTCGGTAGAAGAAGGGGAAGAGGTTGAGCAGATGGCTGGAAGTCCAGGAGTTCAGAGCAGGAGCCCGGTTACTGCTCCGCTTGGTATATCCATGAACTTCATTGGATGTGGAAAAACTCTGTCTAATGTGTCTGTGGGAAGAAATTACCATATAACAACATGCCAGAATGGTGGCGAGCTACCCGACACGAGGTCATTAAGAACTCATTTGAAGCAGAAGTTGGAAACAGAGCAGATGGACATATCTGTCGATGGTGTAAATCTTCTGAACAATGCACTAGATGTTTATTTAAAGAGGTTAATAGAGCCATGTTTGAGTTTCTCTCAGTCAAGGTGCGAACGATCGAGATTTACAGGCCATCAACTGATAACTGGCTCAAGATATGCATTCCAAGAACAACTCAAACATAGAGCTCAACAACCTAATAATGTATCCTTGTTGGATTTCCATGTCGCAATGCAACTGAATCCTGAACTACTCGGGAAAGACTGGATGATACAGCTCGAAAAAGTCAGTTTACAAGCTTCGGAAGAGTGAAGTAGCCAAGCTGGTCTGACCATATCGCATCTAAATCAGAAAGTATAGTAGCTGAATATATTCAAAAGGTGATCATATATTGTGAATAATTTTGATGGTTCTGCGGTCTCTGAAAGTTTCTTGCAATTTTTTGTAATTCTTGTTAGTGAGGAGGATAGGTTTTAAGATCCATTAGGAGCCTTAAATCAAGTTGATTAGGTTACATGTAGATAAAAGGCTCCAATGATCGTTGTCCTGAGGAATATGTTTATGATATAATAAAGCATACAACTTCAGATACTCTTGTTTCTAATCTTCACAATTTTGTGTTTATGATATAATAAAGTAGACTGTGAAGATTTCAACAATATTATTTGATTCTAATCTTCACAATTGCTAACTCCCAGAAACTATTCAGTGGCTATTTATCCAATCAAATGATCATCGCTCCCCCAAAAATGCTTCATAAATTCTGCTGTAAGCCGAAGGCCGAAGAAAGGCAGAGATCTGATTAACCAACTTATTAACCAACTTTAACATAGGGATCGAACTCATAACCTCTTGATTGAAAATATATATTAATTACTACTGAACTATACTCGCTTCTTGATTGAAAATATATATTAATTACTACTGAACTATACTCGCTTTGACTATTTAATTATTCCATAACAAGACATTATAAATATAATGAACCTTTATAATAGACTCTACATTCTCTCGCAAAATTGGTACAATGACATAAAAAATGGTTCATTAAATTTGAATTATCTTATTCTAAGAAATATGATTCTTAGAATAATGATTTCCTTAATCAACAAGTAGATTTCCATAAAAAATCAATCCAATTAACCCACTTAAGTGTTAAACATCTGCCCCGAATGTGAAAGAAATAACCCATTACACTCATTTGGAAATTAAATCAGAGTTGCAGCTATCGGTAACCCATTACAACCATTGGAAATACGTGATTCCAAATCACCAAGTAGAAACAAAAATAAAACCGAAATATATACACAAAGCAAATGTTAAAACAGAATCCCAGAAAGGTTCTTCACTAATAGACTTTTTTCTCATAAAAATGTGTACAATTATATCGACTGTTCAAAGAATCATCTCTCTCTCCTCTTTCTCCCTCTTCTGCTTATAAGCTGCTGCCAATTTCTACTTCAACAATCAGTCAATCGCCCTATGATGGGCCAACGTGGGATGATGCAGCCTCCAAAAGGGACTGTCATCCAAAATTTTCAACTCTGAACCATAAATTATGGGCCTATTGGGATGATCATGAGGCAGCTTTCTCAAGGCTCGCCATGTATGTCATATAAACAGTCCACACATACGAAAATGAATTGCTCACCAATGCCTGCACAAACCAAAACAACACTCAAAAACCACAGCCAGAGGATAAGAGAAGAGGGAACCAGATCAACAGAGAACAGAACATACTTGAAGATGAACAGGGACGAATCTAAACGTGATGAAATCGCAAACTGGCCAGTACATAACGCCATTGAGCAGCGTAGGAAGCAAGTCTCTTTTCAATCGGGCAGTAATTTCAGCACCATTTTCACCTGTTGTCAATGAGACAATTCTCAGTTATCTTGAGTTTAAGAGACTGAAGCAGGCTGAGAAAAATGGCGTCGTACCTTGGAGAAATGCGTTCAAGGAGAAGAAAACAACTGTCATGGAAGGGCCATAGAGGGACTGGCCCATGGCCATTTTCTTCAAGGTGGAGAAGAGGTCTTTCTTGGGGAAAAGTTTTGACATGAAGTTGAACCAGTAGTGGAGGGATGGCCCAAGGATCAGCATGCCATATCCAGCCATTCGTAGTGTTCGAATAAGATCATACGGCTCTGAAGACGAAAGTGCGATGGTCTGAAGAAAATTTTGATTCCAAAATCAGAGCACCATTCAAAAGGACGATCTCCAATGACCGCAGTGATTTAATACTTGATAGTAGCAAACGCGATGAAAAATGCTATGAAGAACAATCCAAGAACAGACAAAAGGACTCTTCAAAACTTGCTGCGCATACTAACCAAATGAGGGCCCAAAGAGAGTTAAACATCAACAAGTCCCCACAAGAAGAACTCAAAAACAAAGCAGCAGTCATACCCAAAAATTTGATCCCCAGACCAGAGCAGCATTCAAAAGGGCGATCTCTAATGACCGCTGGGGTTTAGTAGTAGCAAACAAGAAGAGAAATGGCTATTATGGACGATCCAAGACAGATAAAAGGACTCTTCAAAGAAAACGAGCCAAATGAGGATCAAATAGAGATAAAACATTAACAAAGACCCACAAAAAGAGCCCAAAAACAGATAGATTCCACAGCAATAAACATATCATGAACACAATTACAAGCTCGAAAGTCATTCACCTGAGACGACAAATCAGCAGCCGTGTAAATAAGCGCAGAAGTGACACTCTTCGTAAGAACAGGCCGGCATTTCACCATCGCCAAATACCATTCAAGAAACTCGACCTTCAGAATCGAAGAAAACAACGAGAGAGACGAGGACAGCAACGAGGGAGAAACACCAAAATCCTTCGTTTTCCTGAAAGAATCCGGAAAACGAAAGTACGGCCGAATGGGTTGTGATTGTGATTGCTTCCTCAGGATCGCAGTGGCTTCGAAAGTCTTAGAACCATTAAGCTGGGAAAAATGGCGAAAATGCAACAGCCCAGAAAACCCAGAGCTTCTCCGGAGAGCGCCGATCATCATTTTAGGGTTTTCGGCTGCAAATGGGAAGAGGGTTTTGAAATTTGAAGCGAAACAAACGAAGAAACAGAGAAAATTTTCCGCCTTTACGGTCCCATTCGAGACGGGGCTTTATATTACAATTGTAAAGTAACTTTGTTGTGTTTTTTTCCCTACTTGCTCGAGTATGATTTTGTCGATACTCGCCATCTTTGTCACAAAAATTAATTTATTGTTTTTTTTAGAAATGAACTTCGGTGGCGGCGGGAGAGTGTGGAAATTATTTTGATCACTGCGAGTGGGTATGGATTCCGGCAGGGGAAGGGGAACACGTTTGGTATAAGGGCCATTGTTTTAGTGCCACGTGTCTTGAGAAATCGACACGTCGGTTGGAGCGGTCGGTTCTCTTTCTTGTAAATTGTAATAAAATAGAAATTTCGCCACGACACTTTCCTAGCCTTTCGTTCTTTACTAAATTTGAAAATGTCGACTATATATTTCGAAAATGTATATAAAATTTTACAATTTTTTTTAACTAAAATATTATTTTGGTCCAATATTTCTCATTTTTTTTTCATACTTTCAATTATTTTATTCCCTATACTTATAAAAAAAAATGTGGTCCATTCATTTTAATTCTGTCTCGTTTCTTTTGATGCAATTTACTCTTTAAATTTTAAAAAATGTAACCATAAATTTGTATTTAAGAGTTTTCATTAGGTATAAAATTTATGATAAAATTTTGTAAATAAAAACTAAAGTGGTTACTTTTCAAAATTACGTTGACCAAAATATACATTTTGAAAATACGATTAAAATGAATAAAAATTAAATACATGAATCAAAACAAACATTTTGGAAGTACAATGATTAAAATGAATACATGTCATGGTATTAAATATCTGTCGACACGTCGATATGTCTATCAACATTTTATATATGATATATCAATGAGTTCGACATCGATATTTTCATCCTATTACAAAAAAATTGACAAAATATGAAAAATATCCATAAAATCTCACTAATATACATATAATATTAATATTAGTCATTTTTAATTCATTGAGAAATAGGAAAATGTTTATTTGTAAATTTAAATATTTTTTAGGATTTTTTAATTTCTCTAACTTTTACAAAAATTTCCATCAACAACAACATCGATATGTCCTATATTTAAAATCATAATACATGCTCAAAATATTATTTAAACCTACTTTTTTGAAAGCTTCGGTTATGACTTTAATTCCTAAATTTTTAGATTTTGAAAGTTTCGTTATAATTTCTCTAATTTAATTAAATCTTTTGAAATGTTATCACTATCAAATGGTAACAATTTACTAAAGTGATACCATATCAAATGAGAAAATATTCAAATCTTCACAAGCGTTTATTTATTTATTACGGTCACTTATCATAGATTGAACATAAGGATAAATATAATAAATTTATATTATAGTCATTAGTATTTTAAAACACGCCCAAACTTACTTGACATTACATTTTTTTCGCAAAATAAAATCAAGTGAAAATATGTATTAAAACTTTCGAGTACTTTTTTTAATAAAAAAAATTTAACATTCTCACCTTGATACATCATATTGTTCATTAAGAGTCATGTCAAAATCAATATTTAAAACCATCTCCAACCATCTAAATGAGTTGTTTGGCCTTGGCAATGATTCTGAACTTTGTAAAAGTTTACTATTCACAGTCTCCTGACATTAGAAGGAAAGCCAGCTATTTCTTTCCGTTTAACATAAAGAATCGAAACTTCAACCTTGAAGTTGAGGATATATGTCTTAATCAGCTAAACTACGCTCATACCGACAAGGCATGACAACTCTAACTATCCAAAAAACATGTAAGCTGAAATTAAAATATCCAAACACGGGTTCACTAAATTTTTGTTCTAAAATGCAGAAAACAACACTCCCATACAGCCCTAAAATTCACATCACACCACTTTCATTAATATAACTTGAAAACTCCTACCAAAGTTAATTGGGACATACAGGGACATACTATTAAGCAAATACCAGTTTTAATAGGCAGCAGCACATTGCAGCAGAGAACTATAGAAAGTCACAAAGCGTATCAGAAGTAAAAACTTATAATATAATATTTATGGTCCTATAACCACCCACCTTGAATAAGCAAGAGCCATCCATATCCATATCCTGCAGTTTGATGTAGAATTATTGTCACTTCTGAAGATGGGGGAAACAGGTGGAAACATCAGCTTTTGGGTGTTTTGCTTCAGCATGCTCCCTACATTTCACCTCTGAGGTTGTACACATAAATGTCTGCATGCACACCTTGCACTGCACCATCCAATGTCAAAAAGTTATAAACTAAGAGGCATTCCACGGTAGTTCGAGCAGATATCGATGTCGGAGGGCACAGTTCAAAACAAAATGGACATAAGAAGTTGAAACTTTAAAAGTATGGATCGAAATAGAAAACAAAGAAAATTCACTTGTGAAAGTCCCCCAATGGAGTGGTGTGAGAAGATGTGAGAATGATTTCGAGATGGAACTTTTTGTTTGAAAGCCCTTGTGTATTCGGTGAGAGGTTTGACCTCATTGTTGCTCGGAAATGTGATATCATTAAGGGGATTAGGGATATAACTGCGATGAGAATAAAAAACATTGACCAAAATGTGAATAAAGTGTAGGAAAATGGTGTTTAGAAAAAATATCTTATAGATTGCCTTCTGTCTTTTTGAAAATTGATGTGTTGCTATGTTCATGGTTGTGCTTCTTTGATTGTATGATTCTCTGCCAAAAGAACTTCCAAACATAGCTAGGTTAACCGTTTTCTAAATGACAAAACCTAGAATCATGCAGCCAAAGGAACTTGAGTACTGACATTCAAGTAAAGAAAGGTACACAAGTTCATCATAAAATCACTGATTTACGGAGAGGAAGTGAAAGTGAGACCCCGCAATCTTTTCTACCCCCTACAAACAGTTTCTCTCTTTTTTTCCCAGTAAGTAGCCAACATGTAATGAAACTGATATCCAAGACATTTTATAGTAACAGATAGAAGCTACAATAAGCATCATTGCCAGACGCAGCTTATTTTTCAAGATATCACTGATCTCTCTTGACTTATGGAGCACGTAAACAATATTTATTTTAAACATGTCATGTCTGATGTAGTTTATATCAACATCAAAGTACAGAATATCAGGAAAATTGCTGTCATAGTTCAGATTCATACACCGTTAAATTTTTTTTTGAGTATAATGTTTGATACTCCCAAATGTGTCGAGAGTAAATGCTTCCTTAATGACTTGAGAATTATAGGCTATTCCCTAGTTTGCTTCCAGCTCAGTAACACTATTGATGGTTATAGAAGAAGACCAGCCAAAATGTTAAGGTGCCAATAAAAGATTTAGACAAGGTAACTGTTGTGAGAACACTCATACTAGGTTCATAAAACTCGGAACCCGAAGGAGACTTGGGTAATGGCAGATGTAGTGAGTTTACATTATCCACCTCTACATGTTACACAATTGAATCGAACGCTTGTAATATGCTCAGGTGATGAGCACAGGTTGCCACCAGTTGAATGGAAATAGATTATGAATATAATATTCATGGTAAGTTATGCTATATTCTAAACTCCCGGGTCTTAATTTAACCTGTAAGCATGACAACTAAAGGAATTGATGCACGTATTCCCTATCAAAAGTCATGCTACAATGATAATTCAGCAAGATGGAGTAAGAGACACTGGGATACAACTTTTCAGGGTACACATAAAAGCGAATGCTGTGATCTTACAACTACTAGCTGCAACATATGGAGTTAGTTGCTTTGCACATTTAAATGGCACTTGATCCTTTCCCAAGGACACAGGCACGCTTCTTCCCTTGATAATGGTGGGGCATTCCTTCAAAAAAGAGACAGGCAGATCCTTTCCTAAACTTTGTTAGAGCCCTTTTTCTGGACTCTTTTGGCTCAAAAGGAACTTGATTGGTTTATAAAAGTCTTGATCCTTTCAGGCTAAATAGTAGTGATGAAGGATGTCCTTTTAAAATTTTTATTTAAGCGGCAATTGACAGGCGTGATTTTTATTTTTTATAATTCTATATAACTATTAAGTTCAGCAATACTTCGATCATACAAATTTAGGATTTGTATTGCCTCCAAGCTTACACCTAACATCTTTGGGAGGAAAAGCCTCAGGGTCGCCTTTACCCTTTTAAAAGGTTAAACTAAGTCGAATTAAGATGTATTCCTAAAAAGTGTCTTATACCCCGTAAGGGCTGTTCATTTTCATCCACAAGACTTCGTGCCGAAATCAAATTAGCTTACGGGTCAATTAGCAAAACTATTGAGAAAAAACCCTTTCTCGCAGCCCATTAAGGAATAAAATTGCACTAGATATTGAATAGATAAAGCAGATAATGGAATTCCGAGAACGAAAAAGAAGACGGAGAACTGCAATCAACGACACTACCTGGATAGTCATGGCTTTTTTGTTGGAATCGAGCTGGCTTCCTGCACAAGATCAGATCAACAACGAGATCAAAATTTAAAAAAAAAAACCCTAAAACAGATCAAGAAAAATGGAAAAACTGAAGAAACCGATTGCAGATTGAGAAAGAAAAAAAACAAGAACCCAATGGAAGTGACTGGAACAGTAAGGAAAGAGAAAGTACCCTTGGCGCCTTTTTGCTTCTCCAAGTTTCTCTCGCGAGCCATCTTGGCCTTCTGCCCGTTGCCTCCTCCCATGGCGGAATCGATTATTGAGAAAGTGGAGAGCGGATAAGGCGAGGATTTTTCCTTTCTCTTGCGTTGCGTTGAAAGGAAACAGAGGAGACCGCTTAATAAAAAGTTTTTTCGACTGGCAACGCGGAATGCACTCAGGAGATGAATCTATACAACCAAAAAGTTGGTTTTTTTTTTCGAAGTAAATTGGAGGGAGAGAGAAAAATCACTTTTTTTTTACTTATTATAAGAAATAGAAAATAATCGATTAAAATACTAGTTTTATTTTCAAATTACATGATTAAGATAGAATGAAAGTTTAAAGTATAATGATTAAAATGAACTTATCGTAAATAAATTACTGATAAATGACATTGAGAATAGGGATTTAAACTCATGATCTTTTAATCATGAGATAGACATCTTAACCATTTGAGCTTAACTTCGATTTGACAATAACATTTACTTCTTTAATTAAGATATTCAAATATTTAAACCTTATATTTATGCTAAAACAAATATTACAATTTTTATTATATATTTTTTAATACAACAAATGGGTGATTCGAACTTGTGACCTATTGGTCAGAGACAACTGACAATTAAAGTTGAGTTAAACCCATGTATTAAAGTTGAGTTAAACCCATGTTGGCATTATAATGACTAAATTAAAATCAACTAAATAATAAATACTATTTTGGTCTCTATATCATTTTAGTTAATTTTTGTTCCTATAATTTCAAAATCAACTAAATAATAAATACTTTAAGCTTTTGTTTCAATTTATGGAATATTTTAGTGCATTAATTATTATATTTATCTAATTTCTTTAGCAGCATTTGTTCTTTTAATTTTGATTATTTTTTAGTCTCTTTATTTTCAAAATGTTTGTTTTGATCAATGTACTTTTAGAAATGGATCATTTTGGTCCTTAATTTCAAAATTTTAACACATATTCTATATATAACGGAAACTCAATAATATAAAGTCATTGTTATACATTGAGTATAGTATTGTGTTAAAATTGTGATTGAAAAAATGAGATTGAAAATAAAATGAAGAGATGTAGTCACTGTTTAAAAGTATAAAGAAAAAACAAATATTTTGAATGTACAGAGACTAAAATAAATTAAAGTTGAGAGTATAGAAATCAAAATGAATATTTTAAAATTACAGAAACCAAAATGAACCAAAATTGAAAGTATAGGAATCAAAATATTATTTGAACTTAAAAAATATAAAGATCAGAACAGTTAAGATACGATTAAAATGCTGTGAATTCGAATATCGCAAAAAAAAAAAAAGTTAGAATGTACATAAAAGAAAACAGTATTAGATTATTTATAATTTATTTAACCAAACAAAACCTAGAAACAGAAAATATTTTAATATTGCTCAGCTGCCTCGGCGGGCTCAAAATCCACGCTAAAACCTGAAGAATTCAGGTGACCCAAGTCCATCCTTCACTTTGAAATGGTTTTGTTTTGAATTCCATCTGAAAAGCAATCCTCATCTCAACTGCACATTCCCATAATCGATCGAGGAACTCCTGAGTAGTGGCCAAATTCACGGTTAGGCGTGGTATCCTCTCCAGCTCATCGTTCGTCGAATTCTTCTTCTTGGGTATGTTCCTTCTTCTTCTGTGTCCAACAGATTCTTGCCCCCAAAAAGTTCTTAGCTTAAACTCCTGCGTGTAAAAATCTCTTTTCTATATTGCAAATTGCAACTTCCCTAGTATTGAATGTTGATTTTGGACTTTTGGTAGTACGTAAGAACAGGAAATGCAGTTTTCTTTCCTGCTTTAGATAGAAGAACTTCTGACCTATATAGAATTCTGGGTTATGAAAATGAGGTATTTTCACGCCATTGTGTTTAGAGTTACAATATTTCGTTCCTTTGGTTGGCACTCTAAATAAGTACAGAGTTAGTTGCTTTATATTTTTGTTTAGTATCTTTTTCGAAGAATTGAAATGGAGATTTAATTTTTGTGAAAAGATATGGCTGATCGACAACCAATGGATCAACAGCATCAACTTGATCCACAGTTGCAATCCCCGCAGTCACCGAGAGAGGACATGATTGCATATGTGATGGCCTTGGAAGCTGCTCTGCTTCCGTGCTTGCCTGCAAGAGAGTTACAAGCAATAGACCGATCTCCTCACCCTTCTCATCAAAGTCAGTGACTAATCCCTCTCCTGTGTTGCCTGAGTTTCACTAGATTGTGGAGAACATTGGGAACTAGTAATTGGGCTGGTTCCTTTTATATCATTAACATATTTTCTTGCTCTATCATATTCCTCCTTATGATATGATCTCTTGAATTGAATAAGTTGTGTAAAAGAGTTTTATGTGTATAATTGTGGTCAATAACAATATTGCATGAATAACTGGCCTATAGCTTCGGTCTTTGTTGGTGTTGCACTGATTTTCAAATTGGTTATTTGACAAATAAAATTAGAAATCAGAGAAACTCGTAGATCAACAAATAATAAATTGAGCCTCTTCCGAGTTTAGTGCCACTCATGTAGACTGTTCAGTGCCAATTGCTGTCTGCAGGTCTATGTGTTAAACATGCAAACCACGAAAAGTCATTCTTTAGTTTATTTTCCAAAGGAGCCAAAGGAGAGCTTTACTAGCATTTGTCTACAAAACTGTAGAGAGTGGTAAGTTGCCGCACTTCTAAGGAAGTGGTAACTGATGTAGTACTGAAACAAGGTGGGTTGAGATTTGGGCAGCATTTAGAGTGCATACCTTTTGTTTTAATTGAGAAAGGGCTTGGCGTTTCACTCTTTCTCATGGGGTTGTCATGGATTGTCGGCCATACAGATAAGGAAGTCCAAGGAACAATTGTCATTTTATGTTCTTTTAAGGAAGTTAGGGTCTTTAAAGTTCTGAAAAACTGATGTACAACTACAATCCAGATCTTAGTTTTTACCAAGCAGGCAGATGTCTTCAGTTTCTTCATAATATGTAGCATCATATGCATTTCTATGTTTATCAATGGATACTTTAGCAAGTGCTATCTGTTCTGTAGACAACTATAGAGGGACTGTCTCTTGGTATTGTTTCACTCAACCAATTCGTGCTTGTTTGGTTTGCTTTCATCTCTCAAGCACGACAGTTTGTGAAGCAACTTGCTTGACGGTAATTCTTCATGTAATAATCTATGCCTAAACTGTTGTTAATCAGCTCTCTTTCTGAAGCCCATGTTTCTCATCATGCTCTCCCCTATTGCATTTTACTATGGGTCTGCACCTCGACTAGCTGGATCTAATGACTGAACTTTAGTCTTTGATTTTGTTGCATTAAAATTATGTGGATGAGTGATTTTCATTAATTTGTTGTATGAAAATATGTGGATCGGAAGTGACATTTAGATCTAGAAGTAGCAAGACTGTCTGCAATCTGCAACTCTAAAGGCGTTCAATGTAGGACATTTGTAAACAGTGAGTTGAACCAATATTCCTCTGGCTGGGCATTTGTAAATAGTGAAAATGACACCCGATTTTGTTAATGTTTCAGTTGACGTGGAGAGACATGCTAGGGATTTTATGGAGGCAGCTAAAAAGCTTCAACTGTACTTCATTGGTTTACAACGTGAGGATCAACCAATCAAAGTGGAAACACTAAGAAAGGTAAGTTAATCAAGCACCGTCCTTTTCAGTTCAAAGAGGAGTGACTCTTGTGATAAATGTAGCACAATTCCTTTTTTAACATTCTGTGTTACTTTTCAGGAGATATCCGCCATTGAGGAGGAACTAAAATTAAAGAATGACATTATCAAGAAGCATGAGAGGCTCATTGAAGGGTGGAAGAAGGATTTGAAAGACCAGTTAGCCAAACATAACAATGAATTAGAGAAGGTTTAGTAGCTCCAATAGTCTGCACTATCCAATACTCTATTGTTAAGTTAATTGTAGATGCGATCAATTAATGGGTGGGGTTTGGTGTGGCATATATTGTTCAGTCTCCTTCTTCAGTTGGATCTGTTATGAGTCCATATTTCATACTGACTAGAAAAACGTGGAAAAGTGTAGGGGATTGCAGAGAATGCAATATTGCCAAGTAACTAATATGATATGTATTCATGAAGTTTTGTGTTTCAAAGAAAGCAGTGGACACTAAAACTGCAGAATAGCAAAACGCTGCTATCATAACTGAAGATAATATTCAGGTACAGATCTTAAAGGCTTCCAGTGATTTAAGGCAGAATGTAAAAACAACTGATTTGTGTATCTGGGCAGGTAATGTACAGTTGATTACGTCAAGGAAATTAGACCTCGCTCAAAACTTGCTTCCTTTCCTCCTCTTCAGCTTTGATCCAGGCAGCCTGCAGCATGAAAAAACAATAAGCAAAAGCAACTTCATAATACAATAAGTTAGTGCATTCAAGTCGAAATATCACATATTTACAAACAATTGTATGCAATATTATGTATACCTTGTCTCGTTCAAGTTTGGAGAGATGTGGTTTCATGGAATCTCCCAAACYCAAGCCTCCCCAGGCTGCCTGTAGGTCTCTCTCCCTTGCTTCACGGCGGGATAGAAAGTTTTTGTTCTGATTTTCTGATTCCTGAGAAGACATCAGCTTCTCCCTCTCGAGTCTTGTTCTGTGTTTAACCAGAATTTCATCCAAACCCCCACCAGCTCCTCCATTGGTTACTGAATGCATATTTTTTTCACTTCTCTTTAAGTACTCTGGTATGCATCCCATCTTCTCTTTCTCCAGTTTTGAAACACGCTTTACTAAAATTTCGTCCAAGCTTTGGCAACTAGGTGTACTGCGATTATCCACCTGTTTCTTATTATGTCTTTGCTTATCGTAGTTGCTTTCAGCTAACACGGCTAGCATCTTTTCCCTTTCGAGTCTGTGCACCGGTTTCACTAAGATCTTATCTAAGCTATCTTCCATGTCCCTTCCCATTTTGAATGAAGACTTTGGCATACTAACATTCTCCTTTTCCTCTGGTTCTGTAGCAGAAAGAGATGATTCTTCTGAAGCAGACTTGTAACTTTTCTTCTTCAAGTCCATATCCCGATGTCCTCCTTCACGCAGCTCAATTTTTCTTCTATTTTTTGCTTCTTGTACTTCTTTTTCAAGCCGCGAGACGTGTTTCACAAGATACTTATCAAGACTGGGAACTGCTGGAACTTCTTTATGACTAACAAACGTTTGTCTTGCCTGCAACTTGTTGCTACGAGTTTTGAATTCTTCTCCACCCTTGCGTTTGGTCTCTTGAACTTCCTTCTCAAGATCTGAAGGTGGCTTTGTCAGTACAGTTTCCAAGTTGGGGACAACTTTCTCATCCTGAACACTGCTCAATGGTGGAGGATTTTGTGACGGAGCTTTATCTAAGTCGATCTTCTCTTCCATGGTTACTTCAGAATTCTCTGAGGTCAATTCCTTCGCTTCGTTCTTTCTGCTATTCTTTGCTTCAAGCACCTCTCTTTCCAATTTACTCGTGTGCTTTACCAAGAACTTGTCCAGGCTTGGAAGTCCTGACTCGGCTTGCTTCCTCCCATTATGCGAATTCGATAAGTAGTTTCCAGAACCAACTGACGACGTTCTTCGATCATGAAGCTTGCCACTTTCTACTTCAGCCAAGGCGGCATTCAAACCACAAGTTGCAACTATAGTGGCAAGAGAGGAAAGTTCATCTTCTTTCAAACGCCTAAGCCTTTCATACATCAAGTCCTCGATGTTTGTTACCTTCTCAGAAGTTTTATGTCTCATATGTAAAACCAGCATCTTGCAATCCGAGTTGTTAGAGCTGAAATCATCCTTTCGAGATGCGTCATCAAGTTCCGAGCTGTTCTCTGATTCACATTCGGAAGAATGTTCGGATGAGTCTACATTATTATCACTGTCTGGGTTCTGTGAGATTTTTCGTAGAAGTTCTTTAAAGTCATCTTCTCTTAAAGAAGAGCAGTTCGCAAGCCTAATCAATGCTGTTTTTACTGCAGCAGCCACTTCCTTATCAACCTCAAATTCTGTCTCAAAAGATGCTGTAATGGTGTGAGTTGTAGACCCACCGCCACCAGAAGACAACGTTTCCATTTTGTTCTGTGGACAATTGGGTGTATCATACATGATCACTCCCATAGCTGCAGCTGCTTCGCAAGCTTCAGCTGCGATTTTCTCAGCCCTAAACATCTGGCCTTCAGCTTCTTTACATTGAATTCTGAAGAACAATGAAGAACAATGCAAAAGATGAGATATCAAATAAGCTCAACAATCATGACCCCTCCCTATAATTCAAATGTATGTAACCCAACCCAATCCTATTCCAGTTGCACATTAATAAAACGAGTATATCACAGTATACCTAGCTGCTCGGAGTATTCTGCACCAAGAGGTTTCGACCAATGCTGCTTTTCGAGCTTCCATCGCTTTATGTGCTGCCTCTCTTGCTGCCATTTTTTCTTTCAAAACTCTCGAGTAATGAGGATTAGAATCACCCAGAGTCTCATCTAGTGTTAAATTGAGGCCATCTACTTCCTGCAGAACAGTGAGATTCCCAGTTTTAGTGTGGCAAAGATAATATGAACTTGAAATGATATTACAGAATGGACAAAAATACTACACCTGCAGCATTTTGATTTTCCTCTTCAAGTAAGAGTCCACTTTCTTGCGTGGGAACCAATTGATAGGGGAAACCTTGCGGTGAGGAGGCTTCTTGATTTGCGATGTAAATTTGTTAAGACCATGAATTGTTGATTGGTTTGTCTCTTTCGAAACTTTACTCTGTAATCAGTGTATACAGAAATTAGGTTAAAATCAAATTCGATGCACTGAAGGTTGTTGATTAGATTCAACACAGTTTCTACTTCAAAAGAACCGAATTAAACTTTGAAACACAACTCTGGAATAGATTTATATAATGAATCGAAAGAAAAATATCGAATTTGATTCAATTACATCGATTGCAGATTCTAGATTCGAAGTCATAAACAATCAACTTCGTCTAAAAGCAGTGAAATGATCTCGTGGAATCCGAGCCAACAAGAAAGAAAACAGAATCAAGAAATACTGAAAGAATTCATCAAGAAACGTGGCCGGAAATTTTCCGAACTCGTAATTTCTCTGAAAAAGAAATTTTACCCTTCCACTTTTCGAGCTCGCAGAAACAGGCTCGCCGGAGTCGTCATTCTTACTCTCTGAATTGACAGCAGTGATTTCGCGTGCTCGCTTTTCCGACGCGGAAACAGAGTCTACGTTCGAGCAGCCCAAATCCATGGTCGATCTTCTCAGAAATGCGAATAGAATATGATCGGAACTTTCAGAAATCAAACAGATTTGATGCAAAAGATTCAGTGTTGGAACGAATTGCGGGAGGTTAATGGGATAGTTCACTTCTTGCGTTGAAATTGTCCTCTGAAGCTATGAGAGAGAAGATTGTGTCCTTTAATTTTTGTTAAAATGGAAAGTAGCCGTTACGCCTTCAAAGGGCGTCTCTTTTGAAGTCCCAACGGTCCTTTAAAAAATTTGAAATTATCCTCTGCGTTGCTGTAACCAATTAATGAATGACACGTGGGCATAAAAGAATTTAACGATTTATAGTTTGCTTTTTCATTTCCCGTACTATGGTTAATTTTTAGTTTTGGTTCATTTTGATGTTTCTACTTTCAAATGGTTAGTCTTAGTCTCTAAAATCTTTGTACTTCTAAAAATGTGATTATTTTAGTCTCTTCATTTTTTTATCACAATTTCAACACGACAGTACAATGAATATATTTTTTAAAATGTTAGTATTAAAAAATTTTACAAAGAGAGACTAAAATGATCTACAAGAACAAAAATGAACATTTTCAGGGTATAGAGACTAAAATGAACCAAAATTAAAGATATAGGAACTAAAATTAATATTTTAAAAGTATAAGGATTGAAATGAACCAAGACTGTTTTTTAGTATAATAAATTAGTTATCCTCTACATTTTTTTAAATGTTATTTTATGAAAAAAGCAAAGCAAAAATACTACATAGCCATTCAAGTTATAACAAAAGAAACATTAGAACTAAAATCAGAAAAACAGGTTGCACGAATTTCATTTGAAAATCCAAATCTCACCTCCTTCTACATTACACTGCTATGCTTACTCCAAAAAGAATATAAGATAATTTCAATAACGACCTTGAAACAACGTTAGTAGTTGTTATGAATTGCCCATAAATATAAGAAGAAAATAATTTTACTAACCATCAACTTAGACCTAGAAGAAAAAATCATTGACTTCATCACAATTCAAATAGTCAAACACATGCATTTGAGTCAAACTGAGCGTAGGTCAAGTGTTTAAGATAAGGGATTTAAAAAAAATCATGTTTAAGGATAAACTTTGACATTATTAGTATCATAGAAAATTTATATATATATATATAGTAGAAGAAAAAACTTTACATTATTAAAAAAGGGATACAAGTTGGAAATGTAAGTTATAATTGTTGAATAATTTGGGGGGTGAAGTGGGAATTATTATCATCCAATCCAATCCAATGAGTGCGAGTGCTATGGTTGCTGAAGCGGTGTGGAAGCAGATCAAGTCCACTCGATCAGGTTCCTCTCTCTCAATTTCAATTTGGGTTTTTTTTTCCTCCACTTATCCTCGGATTCCCATCTTCACATTTCCATTTTTAATTTCAATCTGGTGTTCAATTTACCCCATCTTTGCTAAAGGAACTCAAACTGATTTCAATTTCCGCAGTGACTGATGATCAGCTTTCAGTGTGAGTATTCTCGATTCTTTTCATTTGGAAAAAAGTTCTTCTTCTTCTTCTTTTTCATCTTGTTGTGTTTATACTGACTTGATTGGGTCGGTGCTTGTACAGCTTGCATTTCTTGTTCGGCAAGAACTTCGAGCGAGCTACTCGAATCGTGGATCAAAGAGGGGTAAAAAAAATTTATGGGGAGCCCAGCGGACGGTCCATCTTCCAGGTCGCTTTCTGTAGTTTTCATCTTATTTTTGTTGAAAACTCCATAAAATATGGAGATACCATTTGGGTTTGCAGAGTGTGCCCTAAAACATAATTGTGGTACTGTTCTGTTTAAAGCCTCATTGATGAAGGGTTTTTTGGAAAATTAAGCCGTGTTGACTCCCCTCAACTGGAGATTTGAAAACTAGCACAAAAGTTTGATGGCTTGAAACCATGTTATGAATAAAAGATTAAATATACAGTAACCATATAGTATTAGAGCTGGAAGTCATATGTTCCGATGTCTTTTCCTCTCCAATTTATATTGGTAGCAACTTGTTGAGTTTTGTGCCAACTCTCAAAATTGCCTACAAGCGAAGGGAGTGTTAAGAAAATGAATATAAGATTAACTATACCATAATCTAATTTTTTTAATGCACTGGTAGTTTAGTATAAATTTTAGTATATTTAATCTTAACAAGATTTTCCCTTCATATTCTGTTTCAAGATTCAATAACAGCGAAATTGTTTATTTAAACAAATAACAACTTAATTACAGTTCAGACAATGAGTTCAGTTTTCTTTTAACTGTTAGGTTGTGGGAGAATCTCGAAGGAAAGAGGAGTATTTCTGTTTCCCAGAAAATTTTTGTGCCTGTTATTCCTTTTTCTACGACACTGTGAACAGAGGAGAACAACTTTGCGTAAGCACTTGTTATTTCTTATTAGTATGTAGTGTAGCTGAGTTGAGGCTTGAAAATCAAATCCTGTTCCTTCCACTTGCCGACCATCTTTAATTTTTGTTTCTTTCTTTCGTAGTGCAAGCATCAGTTAGCTGCTAGGCTTGCCGCTTCGCTGGGGGCTTTTATTGAAGCTAAAGTATCTGATGAAGAGCTGGCCTTATTATTGTCCAATCTTTAAGACTAACCACTTTATTGAAGCCAAAGCTCTTATCACTAAAAGCTTGAGAGGTAATTAAACTTCATTATCGTATGAACACCAATTTATCCTGCTCTACTCGAATAGGTTCTATACCTGATCTTGATGTTGAGCTCATAATGAAACTTGCATAAGAACCATTACAACATACTAGGTTTCATAGGTGAGGTGGTAGTTCTAAATTGGTTGTCTCCTGCTCATATGTTCTCTTCTCGTTCCTCCAGCTATGTCCTACAATTTTTTCATCATATGATAATTTCTTTTTTCTTCAGCATCCTGAATAAATTTGAGGGGAAACCATGAACATGGAGTAGAGAACAACTACCTTAGCATAACCTTGCAGATTGGAAAATTTTGATGATGTACAAATGCAACTGAAAATGTAGATTTTTATCCCTCCCTCCAGTTGAGATCAAATCAATCTTATTAGAATTTGATTAAATCTTGTTAGAGAATTGACATTTTGGTAAAATCTGACAAGCCGTTTGGATCATTATGGTGTATTTGGGATGAGTTTTGAAGGCTATTTTCTGGCATGAGATTCAGTCTTTCATGATATAGTTTAAACCAAGATTGTTGCTGTAAAACGCTCTCCTCTGTGCCTCTTTCTTCAACACAATTGTCAGTAGTTTTAAGGTTATTACATACTCAGATGGCTGCTCAAAGAAATGGGTTAATGGATGTTTACCAGAGTATTCTAATTTTTGTGTCAACTCTTGTTTGCTGTAGTTTTCGATATACTTGGGTGCACAAGGATAGCCCCGAGCCAATCGAACCGATGTTGGTCGGTTCTCCTAGACCTATGAAGACCAATCAACCCACCAAACATTATACCGAACAAAATATATACATATATTATTCTTAAGGATGAATAAACTACCACGCAACTCAAAATGGTAAGCTAAGCGAGGGGGTTTTGGATAATTGTACAAGGCCCAACAAGTGGAAATCATTATCAATGGAGATGAAGCAACAATGCAAGAGTTCGAACTACCACTCAACCCAACCCAAAAGCTTATGCTGATCGGTTGGATAAATTTAATTCATATATTAGATCTCTAACAATTGCTACAGGAGCTAGCTCTCTACGCCACTCTCTGCTCTTTCGATTGGCTAAAACCTGGAAAAAAAAGGTTGGTTTTGATGCCAAATGATGGCTGAACACCCTTGTACTTCATACATAATGTTGGACGTAAATTACAGGTTTTATACCGTTTAAGCTTTTGTTTAGGATCTTTTGTGTTGGGCTTGTCATTTTTTGGCCTGCTTGTATTATTTCATTCTTCTATCCTTGAAAGCTTAGTTTTCCTTTAAGAAAATAACGTATATATAAATTTCTGTCAAGGTTTATCATTGGTGATGTACAATTGTACTTGATGAATATTATAGTTATTAATGATTGTGTTTCTTCTGAGTAAGATGTATATATCTATTAACATGCTTGCATATTAAGTTTTAATCATAGAGGGCTATTGACCTCTAGATGTCAATTATTATTCTTAGAAGTCGGGGCTGTACACCATTCGTCGTCTCGTGAAAATAGATATTCGGTAAATTCTGGATACCATGACGAAATATCAAGTCTCCTATTACAAATAACTCTAACAAATATTATTAGTTACGAATGTATCATTAGTAATACATTTTAAAGTATTGAGACTTCAATCACTATTAACTTAGAGTTCGAAGATTCTATTAATAAGAGTTTGGATTGTTGTAACATTTTATTGTAAGGATGGAGTTCAAAAAAGTTCGATTGTAACAGACTTGAAAAGAGTTTGATGGTGAGAATGACACATTTTGGTCTTTCTATTTTGTATTTCACTTTTTTTTTAAGTACAACGAGATTCAAACTTAAGATCTTTAATCAGTTGAGCAAGGTTTAAGTTGACATTTCGGATTTCACTTTACCTTTTATTCTAACCAATAACACATTTTGATACTAATTAAAGCACATAGACAGCCAAACTGGAAAATAATTGAACCCTAACAAAATGAATAACATTGAAGAGCCTAGATGAACCCTAACAAAATTAATAACATTAAAGAGGCTAGTTATGTTGGAACTAGGAAGTTGTTAACAAAACAAAGTGACATACCTACGTCTCAATGAATTTTCCCATAATTGAAGCAGATATGAACAGATACCAAAAAAAAAAAAAAAAAATTCTTGAATACACAACATTTATTGGGGGTAGGCACCACAACAATTTGGACCACTGTATATCTAAGAGGGGTCGTATTTCTTTGAGTTGATAGTATTGGAATGACTTCATTATCTAAAATAAAGAACATTTTAATAATACCACTCATCGGTAAATAGCAAACTAATCAAAACTTTAATATAACCTCAAAAAGGCAAATCTTAATGCCGTCCAATGGTCTCTAACTTTTTCTATCATAAGTTTTAGCCCATTTCTAACTTGCCTCGCACTCAGGTTAGCCCAAGAGGCGGGATACTGTCCCATCTTGTCTTGACTAGTAAGAAAAAAGGTTCATTTTCTGTCAAAGAAGCATGTTATGCAGGGAGGTTTCAGAAAGAAAAGCTCCACGTCGTTTTAGAGGTTAATCTTAACAAGCTATCTTATGGCTCGAGCAAGAAAAGATATGCACACGTGCAAGCAGGCTGGACTGTTTATGTAATGTCAAAATATCAAAATGGTGACGGTTTTGTAGAAATGCACTTGTTTTTACGAAAATCAGATAAGGTACTAGTTAATGTCAATTAATAACTGGCATCATATGGTAGTTCAAAAAAAGGTGTGTGCATAAGGAATGAAAGTTGATGATATAAAAGTTGGCGCCTATGTTTACGCTGACATCGTTTTGAATTAATTGTTTATCAGTGATGGAAGAACGCATGCAGTAACAACAAAACGACGTTGTTTTAGTACCTGTCGTTAGAAGAATCAGGACTTCAAAACGAGCCATTTTTCTTCAACCTCCAATTGCACAGGTAAAAAAGTTATGATAAGGATAAACGTGTAAGATACATCGACTTTTAAAAGAGATACACTAATATCTAATCACTGGAGTTACGCTTAGATTGATTATATGAATCGAAACCGAAGAGGTGGATTATTGGAATTTGAACCGAAAAAACATGACATGCCTAAATGTGATTGAATCTTCCATTATTAAAGCATGGATGAATGAGTACAAAAGAATTGAATCTTCTTGAACACATCCAATTTATTGGGAGTAGGGTATGGTGTGACACACCCACTTTTGAAAGCTCAAATTAAATAAACAAATATGGTCACCAATACATTATATTATATAATATAAGGATGCATTGGTAGAACCATAGCTTCATAAATGTGCATCATTTTCTAGGTAATTATAAAGTCCCCCTTGGAAACTTCCTTTGCCGACATTGCTAATGGAAATTCAGAGACACTCCCCCAATTTTTAGGGCTTCTTGCCCTTTCTTTGCCACAAACTCATTAAATTATTTGGGTTTTATTTGAAAAATTGTGGGGCTTATTTTGAGGATTAAAAAAAAATAAAATTGGGGAGTCTTATGATAGTCCCTTTTTTTTCTTTCCTTTTAATGTGGCTTTTAAAGGTAATAAACAACCACGAATTTCGGTGTTTTTGTCAAAGTAAGTATAGTTCAACGTCAACTGACATATATATATAATTAAGAGGTTGTGAATTCAATCCTCCATCCAAGTATTAATCAAGTACTAGCACATTTTTAATATTTGAAAAAAAAATTAAATCACTCTTGAATATATAATCAAATATCATGAAAATTTTGAAAAATATTTTCAATGGAGTTAAAACTCACCGCAAACAATATTAGGAATTACTTTTTAACTAATTAAAGTGCTTTTAAAATGTATCATAATATTTGGCTATAAATTAAAAACTATAAAAGACTTACTTTTTTAACCTCACATTTTGGTTACAATCTTAGAATCAGCTTCCCAAAGACGTAATTCATAAATGTGAATGGTCCCTGATTTTAATATTAATGATTTTTTCATTATTGGGATTAATTTGGTGCGACTCATAAATAAAGCTATGCTAAGTCACATCCATTGATCTATCCTATACTTTTTAGACCATTCAATTCCATTGTCAAATCGAAAACGATTGCCAACAACTTTTTTATTTGGATTTTTATATATAAAAAGAAAAAAAAAGCCATGTTCATTTGTATGAAGTAATAAAAATAATGAGAATATAGTCTTTTTTAAGGAAAAAAAAAACACTATATCAAATAAAATATCTCCTTTCCCTCTCAAGTTGCTATTTTTTATAGGAATAAATAAGAAAAAGAAACCTACAAAATATTTCTCACTCACTTTTGTTTGAAAAATTGCTCTCAAGATCTATTTTCTTTCTAACTATCACGGCAATCTAGTGGTTAATAAGGACCAATTATAAATAGCGAAAGGTTTAGAGGGAATGAGTTCAAACCATGGTAGCCATCTATTTAAGATTTAATATCAGATATCAAAATATATATATATATATATATATATATTATATATATATTTTCTTTGTAAAACTATTTTTTAAGAACTACCATCAAATTATTTGTAAAGGTTAAAACCATGGTGTATATTGAAATCATTATTTTACAAATTTGTGTTTTTTTTAATAAGAAAAAAAAGGCAGTGGTTTTTATTGGAGATATTATCAGAATGGTGTGCATAAACATTATGAATACTTTTAAATTATAATATTTTACAGATTATGTACGTATTAGGAAAAAAAAAAGAGTGTATAGACTTTAAACTCGTGCAACCTGCAATGATGGTGTGGCATTCCTCAGAGCTTTTTGTATAAACGAGGCAAAGTGAAGCCATAAGCCCATAACTAACCAATTTCCATTCCCATGTGATTGCTTCAAGTTTTTTTTTTAGCCTCTCAAATTTGAAATTAACTGACCCTTTGGCTTATTGAGTCGAGATTGAGCCTAATATTTGATACGCGGGTTTGTATATTTTAGGCCGTAGAGTTACTCATTTTATGAGTTGAGTAAATTCAGCTCTTGTAAAGTTGCTTCAATAAATTACAATCTCAAACTAAATACAAGTTACGTAAATCTAAAAGCCTTGTACGACAAGTGTTAAGAACGACGAGCCAACTTGAACATAGCTCCAGTCTAAAATGTTGTATATTCGATTTCTTCATATTCACATGTTGCACCGAAAAAAAGTGTTAATGACGATGAAACCTGTGTACTTCTATAATAGTATGATATTGTACACTTTGAGCATGAACTCTTATGATTTTGCTCTTGGTTTTACTCTCAAAGCTCGTACCAATAGAGATATTGTCTTTACTTATATACTCGTAATCTTTTCCTTATCTAGCCAATGTGAGATTTTTGACATATTTTCAACAACAAAAATCAACATACGCACTAACAGAATCGAAAACTCGAACTCAGTTCGGTTTCTAAATTTACGAAACGTTATCATGGCTCGGTAGAGTTGAGATCATCAATCTCTCATTATAAAGAAAAATAAAGGGAAAGATCCATAGAAGATTAGAGGAGAAGCTATAGCTTTAGTGAAGAAAAAGTAGGTGTAAAGAGTTGTAAAGATGGAACAAGTGGGATGGCAGATTTAAGAACAAAATGGTCAGAAAAAAACTGACATATCCAAAACACTAACCAACCAAACCAAGCAT